ATATAATCCGAGAAGAAATGATATATCATGATCAGATGTAAATATATATATATACATAATTAGTTATGGAAACATTTGATAACATATATAATTTTATATAATCATATAAAATAACATATGTAATTTTATATAATCATATAAAATTACATGTGTTATTAGATCTTTTTATAATTCATTATGTAAAAATGGCAAACTATATAAGATATATTTACATGTTAAAAATTTGTAGTTTATATTTAATTATTTTAGATAATTTTATTTTTTTAATCTTTCAAATTCTTATTTTTGCTGTTCTCAGATTAGAATGTAATATTACGTGCCAATTGGCAATTGCTCATAACATGAATATGTATTATATATAAATCTAGATAAAAGTAGCAATTACATTATTATTATATTTTATAAAATATCGTGATGTAACATCTTATCATATTACATCTATAAATGAAGTATATTATTATTGTTTTTGTACATTTCGAATTAATCTGGTTAATCTCAATTAATATATTTATTCTTTTTTTTTAATCTATTTCGAGAATACACACTGAGCTTTCGATAGTTAATTAATTATTAACTTCTCGCTTTTTTTATGCGAAAATATTGTCGTTAGATATCTTTCAGATTTTTTAATCACCAAAAGAACATTTTCACGTCTTTGAAAAAATTTAGGATACTTATGCGTACATCATATTTGAAATTCATGGAGCATTAATTTCTCGTCAGCTGCGACAAAATCTGTTTTCTCTCTTTTCCATTTCATTTTATTTTTTTAAAGAAATAGGTCAGTAGTAGATCGTGTACGTAAATTGCGTAAGCAGTGATTTACCGCTGAAAACTGATGTTGATCCGAGTGAAAATTAAACGAAACAGGATCTATGAGCGACAATGACGTATTACAGCTCCGTTGTGTGTCTGTGTGTGTGGCAAAGTTGCTTTTTTAATCTATTTCGAGAATACACATTGAGCTTTCGATAGTTAATTAATTATTAACTTCTCGCTTTTTTTATGCAAAAATATTGTCGTTAAATATCTTTCAGATTCTTTAATCACCAAAAGAACATTTTTTTTCACGTCTTTGAAAAAATTTAGGATACTTATGCGTACACCATATTTAAAATTCATGGAGCATTAATTTCTCGTCAGCTGCGACAAAAGGTGTTTTCTCTCTTTTCCATTTCATTTTATTTTTTTAAAGAAATAGGTCAGTAGTAGATCGTGTACGTAAATTGCGTAAGCAGTGATTTACCGCTGAAAATTGATGTTGATCCGAGTGAAAATTAAACGAAACAGGATCTATGAGCGACAATGACGTATTACAGCTCCGTTGTGTGTCTGTGTGTGTGGCAAAGTTGCTTTTTTAATCTATTTCGAGAATACACACTGAGCTTTCGATAGTTAATTAATTATTAACTTCTCGCTTTTTTTTATGCGAAAATATTGTCGTTAGATATCTTTCAGATTCTTTAATCACCAAAAGAACATTTTCACGTCTTTGAAAAAATTTAGGATACTTATGCGTACACCATATTTGAAATTCATGGAGCATTAATTTCTCGTCAGCTGCGACAAAAGGTGTTTTCTCCTTTTCCATTTCATTTTATTTTTTTAAAGAAATAGGTCAGTAGTAGATCGTGTACGTAAATTGCGTAAACAGTGATTTACCGCTGAAAACTGATGTTGATCCGAGTGAAAATTAAACGAAACAGGATCTATGAGCGACAATGACGTATTACAGCTCCGTTGTGTGTGTGTGTGGCAAAGTTGCTTAGCAACGAAAAGAAGATACAACGCGGAGACAGAGAGACACGGAGCAAAAAGGGTCGGAGTCGAAGAAGGAGACAGGGACTTTTGCTTATATGGTCACTGATTACGGAGGGACCAAGGGCCCCAGGGCCTTGGGACCGCTATTCTTAGAAGACACGTCGCTCGTTCTCTCTTCCTTTCGCCGTCACATCCTTCTCTCCAACTCCTTCGCGTACCCTGCAGCGAACTCCTAATTACCTTTGCTTGCATATCTACCTTCTTTCTCCTTTTCCCTCGTCCTTCCCATAGCTCTTCTCCTTCGGTCATTCCTCACCTGCATGCATTATGCATTTGAAGATCGCGTGATAGTCGTGGATTATGCGGTCGTACCTGGGCCTCCCTTTTTCCACAAAAGAAATCGCGAATTGGGTTTGCCACGTCGCGAACCCTGATTTCTGCCTGGCCACGGTTACGTCAAAAAAGTCGCAAATCGAAAGTATTTTTGTATATTTTAAATGCTGTTCAAACTTAACAAATTTTAAAAATATAAAATGTGTTAATAAACCGATCACAACTGGCAATGTTATTCTTTAGTTATTTATTCAAAATTCAGACAACGTTTCGACCTTAGTTCAGGTCCTTATCAAATTTACAATCAAAAAGTAATAATTATAAATGTTGATAAATTATTAATAAAAAGCACATTTCTTAAAAATGATAAATAGCGTAAACCAATGTATATAAATTAATTAAATAAAAATCATACCTGCTAAGAAATAAATTGACACACTTCTACATAATAAAATTCATACTAAAATTCGTCCTACGTTTGTTGAACATTAACTTCGTGATATTAGAAAACGAACTAACTAAGCAGCCTTAATAACCAAATCATATATAGGATTTAAATTTTCTGTGTCTTTTTAAAGGTTGATCGTGTTGTTAAATTTTAACAAATTTTATATTCTACGCTAACTTAAAAGTTAACTTTTGTAGTCGGGATTGATCAGTTTTGGACTAAAGAAAAGTTTAGTGAACCTACACAGAGAGAATTTTCTCTTAGAATTTATCCTGAGAATCATGGTAATCGTGAAACAATATGGTATTGGAAGTATTTTATTAGAGTTTCTCTGATTAAAATAATAGATTTGTATTCTTCGCCAGAGTGAGTTTAAAAAATAATAAGGAAATTAATTAAGCGACGCAAAACTAAAACTAACTTCTTGCACAAATTGACGTGTATTTAGTTTTAGTTTTGCGTCGCTAACTATTGATTTTTTATAATTTTAGCACTTGAAAAGGACCTAAATTTAAGATCGAAACGTAGTGTACTTCATATCTAATAAAGACGAATAATATTAATAAGAGCCAGTATGGTCAAACTAATCATTAATTTCCTTATTTTCTCTGATTAATATTTACCACAATAAAAATATTAATATGTACATAGCAAATTTTTAGTAAATTTTATTATGTACATTTTTATGTACATTTTTATGTACATTTTATGTACATTTATTATGTACATTTTTTGTGAAAAATATTAATCAGAGAAACTCTCATAAGATTTTTCCAATACCATATTGTCGCGCGATTACCATGATTTTCAGGGTATAAATTTGAAGAGAAAATTCTCTCCGTGTAGAACTAACAATAAAAAACACAATCGGAAACAGCTGAATTTATTTTTGAGTATCTCGTGACTTGTATGCGCGTGTGTGAACGTAAAATATGAAGCCAATGATAAATAAATCGGTCTTATCAAAAAAAAAAAAAAAAACGGAAACTACTTTCTGCATGCGGTGCATACATCGCCCCGTTCGACTTTTTCTTTCTATCGCGCTTCGCCTTGTTTCCTGCAAAATTCCCGTCGCATATATTCACGGTGAATTGACGTTACACCGCGCTTTCGCACGATAACGCGTTCCGCTAGGATTCCTTCCTTTTTTCGCTAGTCTGACGAACTACCCGCGAACTTCCGCGGGAGAGAGCCGGGAAATCCCGGCGCGGCCGGCAAATTGAATTTATCCTGCCGCACCGCTGATGAAATAGAATTCAATTATTAGTAATATGGTGAATCGTGGGCTATGATTGGAAGGGAATTGCGCGCAGGACGGCGAAGGAAATTTCGTTGCAAAAAAATTTAGTCCTGCAAAATTCATCGAATTTAATTACTGGCCTCTGTTTAATTGCACGCTGCATGCTTGCGCTACTCGATATTTGTTTGATAAATATGCCCGATAAATTTGAGAGGGAAAAGTCAAATCGATAATACTCTCGATAAAATTATCATAAATTCAAATATATTAATATTAAATATGAATTCGCGAATTATTGTGTTGTGGGTGACGCGTGTTTTATCTCGCTACTCGGAAAAATTGTTAGTATTAATTAAAACGCGTTTTAACAGATGAAAATCTGTCTATGATAAAAGAATAGCTCATCACGGATGGATAAAAAAGATATTGTTTTGCTACTCGGGAAAATTTGCAAATATTAATTAAAGCGTTTATGAAATAATAATATCCGTGAAATTGTTAGCAGGTATAAAAATCCATCGACATGTGACGAGAGAGGAGATATAATAATTTCACAATTTTATTCAAACAACAAACGCTCTTGTTAAAAATAGATTTCACGCAGAACTCTCTCTTGTTTAAGTGTCGTACTTGAAATTGATATTTTACATTTGAATACACATTTACACAAACTCACACACACATAAAATTAAAGTTTAAACATAATAAATTTATGATATAAAACTATGAAGTCACCAGATGATAATTAAAAAATGATAATAATTCAATCGACCAATTCTGGCAAATAATTAAATTTATTGAATTTTCACAACGTTTCGTTGTTCATAATAAATTTAGCCAAATTTCCAATAATTATATCAACTATTTACACCATCAGTCTATAAAGTTTTCTTATTACACGAGTATTAATACAGTGTCTAACTAACTCTGCCGTTTTCGTTTGGTGATACTGAAATTATGTTCCGACGACGAAGATTCTCGATCTTGCCCGAGGGGTGGATTCAATAATCTCACGGCAATTTACATCAAATTAGCAGTGCGCGTTTGCGCGATCACGTGGAATCACCCCGTCGATGGTACATAAACGCGGCCTCTTCATTACGACGCGCTTTAAGTACCGTGATCTGAAAATGGGGCCTCCGTCCATCCTGGACACGCGCAACAATGCGCGTGTGGTATTATTATAATAAATGGTTGCGTGTTGCTTGTCTGTTGCAGAAAAATTGCTGAACAGCGAGGGCCGCGAGCTGCGACGGGCTCTCTTCTCCCTCAAGCAGATTTTTCAGGTGAGTTTACAATTCGCGATAGAGCGAATAGGATGAGAGAGAGAGAGAGAGAGAGAGAGAATGCCACGTATACGATGGAGCTTGGAAAATAGATGGGTGGCGAGGCGCGTGACGAAGTCTAGCGGTGGATATTTTTACGCGAAACTACTTGTCCGACGAGTAAATATTTGCATAGCGAGTCGAGAGCGAGTGCATCTTTTCGCCGAAGACGCGCGCGAATTTTTTTCCCTTCTCTTTCCTCCAGAGAGAAACCTGACTTAACCGAGAATGAAAATTTTCGATCAAATATTTGGCGATTTTAAATCATAATATTTGTCCCGGTAAGTTATCCGTAAATATATAAAACGCGCGAGTTGCTGCATCTTGAATAATCATAATACGAAGGAGAAAATTCTTACTTTTTCATACGCGCATATATTCAGTTATGTATATTTATGTTGCTTTCTAAACTGCGAAAGATGATGATGACGCAGCAGTTGCATCGATTCCAAATCTTCGAGATTCTTTACTTGTCTGTTGAAAATGATCTTGCTATTACATTGTTAAGTACTTGAGAGCATATGAAATAAAACCGCTCTTACTTATCAAATAATGATTTTCCTTTTTTCACCCTATAACGATGTTCCACTTTCTGCGCGAGCAATTTTCTTCCTGGTATTATCTCTTTTATCAAGGAAGATTGTATTGCAATTTTTCGACACGAAGAATATTATAGCATGTCAGTTGAAATACGTCTTTTTCTATTTTTCTAAGTACATTCAAAATGTCTTCTCAAGATTTAAATCTTATTTAAGAATTAAATGGCTTATTCATACAAGCTGTCTATCATCCTCGTGTTCCTTTCGTCGTCTACTAATTTCCAAGACCGAGATTATTGGAAATACCGAATTAATTTTGTGCTCGTAACGAGTTAATTAAATCTCGCACGCGTTTAACGATCTTATCCCCTTTCCAATTATTGCCATCGCTGATTCCAAATCTTCATCACCATGTATCTCTCGTATTCTTGCACATCTTTCCTCGTTAATCCATAGAGCTAATTGAATTTACCGTCGTGTAAATCAATTGCACGTCTGCCCGATATATGATCTAGTCGCGAGACACGTGTGCGAACATATTTTATAATTACTTCCACACACGATTCTGTGTCCCCTTTGTTATTCTCTTCTCGGTCGATACCGAATTTCTCTCTTTCTCTCGCCGCAGAAATCGAGGAAACGCATCGGTACGAGTTCAATTTCGCTTCTTAATCCGCCGGGCTAATTGAGTCTACGTCGTGTCTAAGTCCCGTGTAAACTTCCGCCATCTCAGGACCGACGAGGAAGGGAAGAAGGGTTGAAGGGAGACATAGGGATATATACCCAAGTATACGCGAACCGTCCGACGAGATCGCGAACGAGCCGCGGCGCCCTGGAAACGAGGGGGTTTAATCAAACTTCGTAGATTTTCCATTATGCCCGCGACTTTACGCCCGGAGCGGCATAACTAATTCCATTTAACCTCGGTTGCGCGGAACGGGTTGTGACGGGACGGGTTGGGCTTAGGTGGCAATGTAGAGGTAAATCGCGCCGCCGCGCCGTCAGGATCGGATATCAACAGTCACGTTAAGTTCTTCTCCTAGATAGATGTTTTCCCGGATCTCAATTTGTGGGAAAATTTTGCGCGTGTTCGGAGAAATGAAAAAAATATATTGGCATATGTTAGAAAATGTAAAGAATGTTAACTGCCTGAAAAAATTGTTTCTGAAATATTAATAAATATACGAATTAAATATTTTTTGGCCAATTAGAATTCTTGGATTTTTTATTGCTTTTTATTGCTATCGGATATCAGCAGTCACGTTAAGTTCTTCTAGATAGATGTTTTCCCGGATCTCAATTTGTGGGAAAATTTTGCGCGTGTTCAGAGAAATGAAAAAAATATATTGGTGTATGTTAGAAGATGTGGAGAATGTTAACTGCCTGAAAAAAATTGTTTCTGAAATATTAATAAATATACGAATTAAATATTTTTTGGTTAATTAAAATTCTTGGATTTTTTATTGCTTTTATTGCTTTTTATTGCTATCAGATATCAGCAGTCACGTTAAGTTCTTCTAGATAGATGTTTTTCCGGATCTCAATTTGTGGGAAAATTTTGCGCGTGTTCGGAGAAATGAAAAAAATATATTAGTGTATGTTAGAAGATGTGGAGAATGTTAACTGTCTGAAAAAAATTGTTTCTAAAATATTAATGAATATACGAATTAAATATGTTTTGGCCAATTAAAATTCTTGGATTTTTTATTGCTTTTTATTGCTATCGGATATCACGTTAAGTTCTTCTTTCAGATAGATGTTTTCCCGGATCTCAATTTGTGGGAAAATTTTGCGCGTGTTCGGAGAAATGAAAAAAATATATTGGTGTATGTTAGAAGATGTGGAGAATGTTAACTGCCTGAAAAAAATTGTTTCTGAAATATTAATAAATATACGAATTAAATATTTTTTGGTTAATTAAAATTCTTGGATTTTTTATTGCTTTTTATTGCTATCGGATATCACGTTAAGTTCTTCTTCAAGATAGATGTTTTCCCGGATCTCAATTTATGAGGAAATTTTGCGCGTGTTCGGAGAAATGAAAAAAATATATTGGTGTATGTTAGAAGATGTGGAGAATGTTAAACTGCCTGAAAAAAATTGTTTCTGAAATATTAATAAATATACGAATTAAATATTTTTTGGTTAATTAAAATTCTTGGATTTTTTATTGCTTTTTATTGCTATCGGATATCAGCAGTCACGTTAAGTTCTTCTAGATAGATGTTTTCCCGGATCTTAATTTGTGGGAAAATTTTGCGCGTGTTCGGAGAAATGAAAAAAATATATTGGTGTACTCGTATGTTAGAAGATGTGGAGAATGTTAACTGTCTGAAAAAAATTGTTTCTGAAATATTAATGAATATACGAATTAAATATTTTTGGCCAATTAAAATTCTTGGATTTTTTATTGCTTTTTATTGCTATCGGATATCACGTTAAGTTCTTCTTCTAGATAGATGTTTTCCCGGATCTCAATTTGTGAGAAAATTTTGCGCGTGTTCAGAGAAATGAAAAAAACATTGGTATATGTTAGAAAATGTAAAGAATGTTAACTGCTTGAAAAAATTGTTTCTGAAATATTAATAAATATACGAATTAAATATGTTTTGGCCAAATAAAATTCTTGGGTTTTTTATCGCTTGAACAATTTTTTATATACTTTGTTTTTAATATTTCAGATACAATTTTATTTTCCTTTTATTGAACAATAAAAATTCTCGATTAAAGTCTTTAGACATATTTCTTTTATATTTTTCTAGACGCGCACAACAAATTGAGATATATGAGAAAATATCTATTAAGCTTTCTATATAATTCTCGTATTACATTTTATATCTATGAAATTCTTGTATTTTACTTGTCTGAAAAAGGAAGATAAATTATTTCTGAAATAGATATTAATAAATACGAGTAAAACATTTTTGACAAATATTCGACAAATAATTATAATATATTATTTCGAAAATGAAAGACTGCTAATTATTCTCTTGTGTTCGCTAATTTCACTTATCTTACTCTTTCCTGTGATGTAAAGTAGTTACACGTGCAACGCAAACGTATTAATTAAAATGTAATACAATAACTTTCCAAGTTGCGCAGGCTAAAAGCTTTCTGTTCTGATACAATTAAGAAACATGTCTAGCTGCAATAATGCATCTAGGTCTTTAGGAAAATACCTGCACAAATTGTTCTTATTTAATATATCAGCATGGATTAATGTTGTCGCCATGTTAAGTTATAATCAAGCCAGCTTATCGCGAATTTCAATTTTCCAGGAGGACAAGGATCTCGTGCACGAATTCGTGCAAAATGACGGACTTGCCTGTCTTATCAAAGTCAGCAGCGAAGCCGACCAAAATTACCAAAATTACATTTTACGAGGTGAGTGCTTTATTTATCACAAAATTGAAGTTTAGCTGCATCCATAATATTTCCTGATTCAATAAAGAGAAATCGACGTCTCTTTCGCTTAAATTATTATCTTATTTGTAAAATTTTTTCATTTATATAAAACTGAATTCTCTGAAATAATTTAATTCTCTAAAATAGAACTTCTGTTAAAAGCGTAAGAACAGAATAATTTTCAAAAATAGTAAAAGTTTTAAAAAATTTAAGGATCAAACCTATAAATAATATTTGTATGTTTTTTCGTGAATGAGAGACGTTAGAGAAAATTAATGAATTCTGTGTTTAAGAAATAATTTACATCTCTTTCCTGATTGAAGATATGCGTTTGCTTATTTGTCGCTTTCATATTTAATACATGCAAAAATTAAGCGATAATTATATTAGTATCTTCTCGTGATCGCTTGATGTTTTTACTTATATATCTCGAAAATAATAAAAAAAAAATCATTTTACTAATAAATATAATATTACAAAGGATGAAATTTGATCATAAATTTCTTGATCAATTTCGTCACAAATCTTGAAATATTGCATGTACCATAACTTTGACAACTTGTGAATGACTATTATATGGCGGTAGAGGTTGTCAGTTCGGAGAATTCGGGCACAGAAGATAATTATTCTCCAACTTCCGCACAATAAAGACGGCGCGGCCAATTAGTCGACGGGAAAGTCGTACTGTAAATGGCCCCGTAAATTGAGTTAAGGGAACGACGCGACCTTGTCGGCGTGTGCACGTCGAGAGAGATTTCGTGGTAGACGTCGCTTCTCCTCGTCGCGTCGCAATCTACGCGAGTAACGATAAGATAATACCCGGCGTAATGCAGCGAGCGTTTAACGAGCGCGGCATCAACTCGGTATCCTCGTCTTCGCTTTTCCAAGAAGGACGTATAACGATGATATTATCGTCTGGAAGGCGATACCGCGCGCGAAGCGTTCACGCCGCGCCGTCACGTTTACGAAAGCGTCGACACGTGGGAGCCCGCGAGATGCGGTGGCTCGTGACTAGCTGTCAAACCGCGACGCGTCGCGAATTATGAATGGCGCCTTTTGATCGGCTCTTTCGAGTACGCGGCATCCCGGGGTTCAAGTGCTCCGCAAACTGTCGGCTCGACATGTAAGCGAACGCGTTAATTCTACATTATGTGACGGTTATTTGTCGTGTATACTTGCTGAAGCTGAAGTGACTCAAGGAACTTGTATACGACAGAGAGGAATTCATAATCAGAAGAATAAAAAATATGATAAGGAGAGATTATAGGATCGCGAGCGCACTTTCAAGCATAGTTTGATAATTATAATGATTTTTTCTTACAGACGTCGCTTGAATTTATTTATTTTATAATGAATAATCATATTTGCTCTCGACAGATTCTTCGATTAATTGTATTAGCATCATTACAAATGATAAATTTTGCGAGTTATTTGAAGATTATAATATAGTCTGTAATAAAGTATATGGTTCGATGTGCGCTGATTGCGATCTATATCTAATCTTCTAATTCGATTACCTCGTCATAACTTATGCCTTCTGTAATAATAACGGTTGGATTAACGTTTGTGTCAGTGAAACGTGCTTAAATTGCTTTACCGTCATCGTTATTGCCGACACGAATATGTTGCTGATATGATTCACGTAGTCGCGCGAATACCGGAATTTTGATGATTCTATTATAATGTACATATGTATGTATACGTGTAAACATATGTAATATATATTTGTTTTATCTGCGTTGAGATAAAATCTTGCTCGATTGTATTATGCAGCGTTAAATTCGCCTATATACCTATAAGTTAAATATTGATTGACACGCGAGAATATAAAAGTGAAAAATAAATTACTGATTGTTAATCAGTATTATTTCTGATTTCAATCTGATTTATGAAACATGATTTGAAAATTAAACATTGCTAAAAATCTCGCAAATACATGGTCGACTTACAATTAGTCGGAATTAAATTTTCGGGCCAATTCGTCGCGACAATAATTTATAGATTCGATTTGACAAACACTCGTGTAATTAGTTTATAATATATATATTTTACGGTTCATTTTTGTTACCATAAAATCAATTCGAGTCGCTAAGTGACATATATTATTGTTTGCATTATGTTTTTCAGCTATTGTTATCCATTATAGTTATTTATTATTTGACGAAGAATTGATCTCATTTTTTCTTTTATTGCTTCTAATTAATTTTCGTTGAAACAGCTTCCATCTGCAAAAGCACGAGTGTTTGCAACAGCTCTTTCTCATATTTTTCGCGCATTTTACAAGCCAAGCGTGCCAAGCGTAATTTATTTAGAGCAGCGAGCTTTTGTTGAAACACGCGAGTTTTAAGCGGCAACGTGTGAGCACAAGCAGGTTTTGGGCGTAATTTCACATGGGATAAAATCCGAGTAAACCTACGATCGGCAAAATTTACACGTTAAATTGCTGTCGCACCTACCCGCGGGCCGAGGACGAGCCGGAAATCAGTTTCGTAAACAACACGAAGCGGCATATAGTCCAAAAAATATAGGCAACATCGTTTCGGATCGCCGAGATTTTGATGGATTTCACATTTCAGCTGCAACGATGCTTTTATTTTTTTTTGTTGTTGCGTATATACATATCTATACTGAAAGAGATTTCCGTATCGACTCCTCTTTCGTTTATATTTTTGCACTCCGGCAAAAATAGCAAAATATCACGATGCAAATGAGAAAACGAAATAAATAACTATATGATACAATATCAAACAATTCTAAAATTTGAGAAGAAAAAAAACATTGAATAATGTGAAAAATATTTAAAATAGTCTGAAGTATATTTTTAACAATATATTCAATGTTTTTTTCCAACTTTCAGAATTATTCGTGGAATTATATTCTATCATTTATTTCGCCCTTTAATTCACACTGTAACGCGCGCTATTTTCGGACAGCTGTGAAATCCACATTAGGAAGGTACATTTACGAATAATGGGGCGAAGACCCGTCTCTCTTTATATCGCGATTGTCTGTAACAATTTCACCCTGGGTGTTTAATCTCGCAACTCGTTTGCATTCATGCAGCACTCGGCCAGGTGATGCTGTACGTCGACGGCATGAACGGGGTGATGGAACATGGACAGACGGTGGAATGGCTGTATACGTTAATTGCAAGTCGTTTTCGGCTGGTGGTGAAGACGGCGCTTAAGCTGCTGCTCGTGTTTGTGGAGTACGTGGAAACAAATAGTCTGCTGTTGGTCAGAGCTGTCAGAACGGTGGATCAGGCCAGAGGCGTCGTACCGTGGATTAACGTGATGAAACTTCTGAAGGATTACGATGCCGCCGATACGGAGCTGCTCATATACGCGACGACGTTGATCAACAAGTGCTTGAACGGCATTCCCGATCAGGACACTTATTACGATCAAGTCGACTGTCTCGAAGAGCAAGGTATGGAGGGCGTCATCCAGAGGTACATGTCGAAGCAGGGCACGGATCTCGATTTGCTCAGGCAGTTTCAGATCTACGAGGCGGTGCTGCATCACGAAGACGGCGACAGAGGATCGCCGATACGCCAATTAGATGATAATATAAGGTAGGCGATATCGTAACTTGAGCATGATTTATCATTTTATATCTCTGAGATTTCTATTTCTTTTTTATCTGTATATTTATTAAATATCGTATTATTTTTTATTAAGAAATTTTAGTAAAGATAATTATGTTATAATACGAGAATTGTATACCAGGGAAGACCTAAGCAATTTTTTTTTTTTTGAAAAATAAATATAAATATTATAATTATAAATAGAAAGTTATATTTTTTTAAGACGGTTAATAAAAATTATTTAAATGGAAATTATATTACTTTGACAGAATTTTAATTTTAATTGCTTATTAAATATAACATTCAAAATTAAATATTTAGGAACAATCTAGTACCGATCAAATTTTATAGAAGAAAAATTACCAAGAAATGATATTATTTTATATCTCTGAGATTTCTACTTCTTTTTTATCTGTATATTTATTAAATATCGTATTATTTTTTATTAAGAAATTTTAGTAAAGATAATTATGTTATAATACGAGAATTGTATACCAGGGAAGACCTAAACAATTTTTTTTTTTTTTGAAAATAAATATAAATATTATAATTATAAATAGAACGTTATATTTTTTTAAGACGGTTAATAAAAATTATTTAAATTGAAATTATATTACTTTGACAGAATTTTAATTTAAATTGCTTATTACATATAACATTCCAAATTAAATATTTAGGAACAATCTAGCACCGATCAAATTTTCATAGAAGAAAAATTACCAAGAAATGATATTATTTTATATCTCTGAGATTTCTACTTCTTTTTATCTGTATATTTATTAAATATCGTATTATTTTTTATTAAGAAATTTTAGTAAAGATAATTATGTTATAATACGAGAATTGTATACCAGGGAAGACCTAAACAATTTTTTTTTTTTGAAAAATAAATATAAATATTATAATTATAAATAGAACGTTATATTTTTTAAGACAGTTAATAAAAATTATTTAAATGGAAATTATATTACTTTGACAGAATTTTAATTTAAATTGCTTATTACATATAACATTCAAAATTAAATATTTAGGAACAATCTAGTACCGATCAAATTTTTATAGAAGAAAAATTACCAAGAAATGTAAAAAGTAAAAAAGAATATTGAGAAGATATTATATTCTATTTTATGAAAATCTAACGAAGATACATATTTTACTATTTTACTGACTTTACAGAAAAACTTTACGAAACCGCAAGTCTTTAGTGGATTCTCACGAACGACGAAAATCTCGGAGACATTCGACAGGTAATTCGCCCTTGTCGATGTCTTTGAATGCACGTCTAAGTCCACGTCTAAATCATACTCTGGGCATGAGCTCACTGAACAACACCTTGAATTCGAACTTACCAGATGATGACGACGAATCAAGTAGCTCTCAAAGTTCCCAGGGTCATCTGGGTGAAGTTCAGCTCAACGGCAGTTATAAAGAAAATAAAGGTAATTTTTTTTCTCATTCTTTTTCTCTCTCTTTCCTGTTTTAATTATACTACTTATAAATATAATATATTTAACCACGAAAAGAAATCTCGAGATTAAATAGTTTATTTATAATTTATTTATAATCGTTTATTTAATCAGTTCTGCTTTCGCAGTAGTAAAACAGACATATTTTGCTATTCAAGTTTGAATCTATTTAGATTTGTATCTGTTTATAAATTTCATAAAATATTTTATTTACTCTTTGCTATTTTATTGCACTGCTAAATTATAAGTTTTTTTATGGTGTAACTCGGAATAGTAGCAGTGCATGTTTAAAGACGTCGAAGTTTTCAGTAGATTAAGTAAAGGAATAAACTTACTTTATACTACTGCGAAAATTGACGGCAGAAATGTGTTTTTGCTTTATGTATAATCAAGTTAATTTGAACATTTTTCTGACAAAGATTAAGTATATATACAATATACATTTAAAATTAATATCGCAGAGTTTTTTAAATTCTGCTTTACGAATTGTTACATATCTTTTTATTCTCTTTCTCAATAACATTTTTATATACTTTTATCAAAAGAACCGATCAGCTGTTAAATAAATTATAATAATACTAAAATAATACTAAAATCCAGAGATTAATTTTCCAAATTTCTCAGGCAATCTCAATTGGCGAACATTGTAAATTGATTCGTTAGCAATTCGATTGCATGGCGAATATACGAACTTGGACGCCCACGGGGTACGATTTCTGCATCGGCGAATTGCCTACCGAGACCTTGCGGTTTTCAGTTCCCTTGCGCATTTCATCGGAGACGCGATACGCGGTCAGCATACCTGTAAATGTTCCATTAGATTTCTGAAGATATCAAATATACGTCGGGCCGAATATAACATCACAAGTGGAATCTTGCGATTTATCTTTTTACAAAGAATGTATATTGTTCAAAAATTGATCTTTTCGTTCGACGATATATTTTTAATGATAAATAATAAATATGATAAATTATCATTTCTGCAATTTTTGTTGGAAAAATCTGCAGAAAATTTCATAAAATTTATTGGGAAAAAATTTTCATATTTTATATTGAATTTATAGAGGGTGTCAATTTGATTTTTAAGATATACATATGCGATTAATGGAGAATAGAAAATTGTTTCACGTGTTTCAGTGGATGTTGGTGTTACACCAGCTCTGAGACGGCGAAGAGAACGTGCGGAGAGACAGAGGAGCTTTATTAGAGAGCAACAAGAGGCTACTGCAAACATGAGAGCTTCGCTTGGTCACACCGATGATCAGGAAAGTGAGTACTTCATTTAATCGACCATTTTTAATTGCTACATTTTTTTATTGTTTCAATTAATTTTATTTTTATCTTTTTAATTTATTTTATTTTTAAAATTAAATCTTCGATTATTATTAATATTATTCTCGTTTTCACAAAAGAGAAATCTTGTAATCGTTTAATTATTTTATCATATTTTATATATTTATTTACACATAAATGATTTAAAAATAAATATATTAAAAAATAAAATTTGTGTAAAAATTTCTTGTAAAATATATTATATAAAATATACTTTTGAATCAAATTTTTATGTTAAAATTATTAGACAAAAATTTAATGAAATCTATTTGAATTTTTTAAATATGCGCATATTTTCTTTAAAATTAAATGCACAAGAAGATGTCATTGTAATATTGCAATAAATTTTTTTTATCGTCTGTCCTATCAAGGTCAATTCGCATCGAATAGTCTGCGATACACGAACGGCACTTCTTACGAGAGGAACGCTGATTCTCCTTCGAACAAGTTGTCTAGAACGAACAGCAGGAAGGACTTGACGCCCTTGATGAATGCAGCGAACAAGCTCGACTCGGAGGAGAAGAAACCGTGGTACGGCAAAAGTCCCAACGAAGGTGTCGAGTACGAAGAAAGTAATCACACTGACGAAGATGGGGATCGTCGAGTGGTTCTGCAGCTTAAGAGGGAAGGTACCGTCAAGGATCTTACGCAGAAGTTGGCGGCACAGAATCTTATACCTAGCAGTCCTGTGGAGGAGAAAGTTTCCAGGTAATTTCGGCACAACCTTCATTTCAGATGCATGTTATTCGATTGATTTATCTCTCGCGCCTTTATTCTATATTCTCGTACATTTAATTTATTTTTTAATTTATATTCCATTAAACAGAAGACTTATAAAAAAGAATGAAATCAATATTTTGAAAAATAGTTAAATATTAAGAGAAAGAAAGATCCTTACATTATTTTAAAAAATATCTCTATGCTAATATAATTTTATTTATATTTTAGTACATTTATGATATTTGCATAATTTGAAAAGAAGATATTTTTATAGTACAACTATAGAAATTTATACTACTAGGAAATGTTGCTATTATAAACAATTATTATCAATACAATTAGAGACAGTGGGATTGATTTTTACTAGATATTTATTTATCAACAATTTTATGCATTCCTAACAAAGTTTTTATTTAATCGCGAAATAATATTTTTGAATGCAAAAGTTGGTTTAACTTTTCTGACAAATGGAAGTAGAAAATAGCGTATTAGGATAGCGCGAGGTATTGACAACAGCAATGGTACTTGAGGGTTGGAAGAACTGCACAAACTTTGTCGTACTCGAGCCGGAAGTTCCACCGAGTTAATTTTACGCAGGATATTGCAAAAGTAGCACGGTTCGTATAAAACTTAGTTTTCTGTCGCCGCCGGATGCGAAACTTTCGACAAAATCGATAAGCAGCCCTATCTTGAGTAAATTTTTTTTATGATAGAAAAATATTTAATCGATAAAAATCGATTAATTGTGTGTTAACACATTATTGCAAAATATCTCTTTAAATATTATAATATTTTTCGATACTATAATTGCAGCAAGCGAATTATCAAGAAAATCGGTTGAAACATTTTCAAAGAGATTAAATCATATGACGGGCAATTTGATTCCGGTGATTTTCATGTTATAAGTACATAAAGAGCATTACATTATTAATCATCGGGATTAAACTAGAGATTATTTCTATGTTTGATATTAAAATTTAAATATATCGTTTTAATCCTTATATATGTAAACAATTCATTTACACGATAATTCAGTCGATCAATATTGTCGAGCAAAATTAAATTAGCAGATATATTATCGATGCTTTTAACTGTTTATCCCTTTATATGCTCTTTCGCCCTTTATTTCGCGCTATATATTTAAAATATGGATACTCGCGTTATTAAATATATCGCGCGGTTTTATATATATATACAGTACCTTTCATAAGTTTAGAAACACCTTACATTTTACAGTTAAACAATCGTATGGCAGCGATCTGTGTAGATTTTTTGTATCAATAAATCGTAAAATTATATTTAAATAACATTTTTATTTATGACAGATCGCTGCCATGCGATTGTTTAACTGTTAAGTGTAAAGTGTTTCCAAACTTGTGAAAGGTACTGTATGCAATAAATAACAAATGTCCATTTATAAGACTGTTTTTTGTTATCACGATTAATAATATTTCAATAATACACTGATAAAAAACATTCCCTTAAGTTTATATTCTTGCATGTTACAAATATCTAATTAAAGAATATTTCTTTCGAGAATTTTTCTCTTAAATTAAGAGGATCCTTTTGACAGATCTCTGCAGATTTTGTGTATAAATAAATCATAAAATAAACAAAAAATATTTAAATGACATTTTTATTTATAACAGATCCAATTCTTTAACTGTAAAGTGTAAGATGTTTCCAAACTTATAGAGGGTACTGTATACGATCCAGCATGTTTCACGCGCATTTTCAGAATAGGAGACATGAGCGGGCTGATATCGAAGGCGAAGGAGGGCCTGGCGAAGTCCAAATCCAAAGCAGACGTATTGAAGTCGCCTACCGGCGACAATCTGCCGAAGCTGCAGGAGACGAAGAAATCGGAGAACGAGCTGCACTGGGAGGAGCTGGTGAAGAAGCTGAAGAGACCGCTCGCGCTCTGCGACCTGGACTTCACCGATCTGAATTCCGAGGACGAGATCGACGTTCTGGGATCCGCTAACGTGACAAATGGGGTGCCACCTCCGCCGCCGCCGATGGCGCCGCCGGCCGGTGACATTTTGACACCTCCGCCCATGCCGTTGAGCGCGAGACTGCCGCCTCCGCTGCCTCAGGCTCCGCTGCTGCCCTTCAGCCTGAAGGTCTCGAGGCCGCCGGCCAGCGAGGCGCCGAAGAGCCCGCCGTCGTTGCTCGCGAAGAAGAGCAAGAAGACCGTGAAGCTGTTCTGGAAGGAGGTGCGGCACGACCCCAATATCCTTGCGCGGCTCGACAAGCACAAGATGATCTGGGACGAGCTGTCACCCGTGACCGTCGACACGCAGAAGCTCGAGCATCTCTTCGAGAGTCGCGCCAAGGACCTCATCACCAAGGTGAGTTACGTTCAATTCTTATTATTTGATTTGGTGTATTTTTCGTCATACCGGTGACGAATCGCGAGTTTCAGCTTGGAGCGAACAGCTGAGAAGGATGACGTAAATGACGGCTGGTTTTGTGGTTTCTTTTATAGGAGTTTAAAATAGAGGCCGTATTTCGCGGCGTTATTTATTTTTTTGCGTTATTTGATGAAAAAACCGCGATATTAATCATTCTCGAAGACAGACGGACGATTAATGATGTATTAAAAAATTTATCATTTATTATAATTTAATCTATTTTTTATTTTGCTTTGTATTGAGTTGCTAGCCATTTTATGATTGATCAGTTTTTGTGGGAAAAACTAATGTTTCGATCTCAAACAAGGTTGGCAAAAAAGAATCTTTTCACGGCATTAAAAGCTCGATATGTATAAAACAATAATTCTATATACACAAATTCTACACATGTTTGTTGATCAACAAATTTGGAGTTGCATGCATTTAAGGGGATGATATTTTTGTATTGCATCAATTTGCATCGTATCATTTATAATTTTAATAATATCCAAAATTGTAATTAATTATCGCACGTCGCTACGTGAGATCGTAATTGGACATAGTTACATAATAAACAAAGTTAAATTTGTGATTTATTTTAATTGGACATAATTATGAAACAATTACAATTTCATGATTTTCTAAAATAAAATTTTACATCAATCTGGAGAGAAAGATGTTAATTAACTGTAAATATTGCTCAACTAAATATTATTAAAGCTTTAAAGTAGCTTATTTTATATATTGAAAATTGCGTCAATCGTTTTAAATTCTTGTAAATATACATATTTAGTGTAAATAATCAGACATTGTCGATTTATTTAATTAAATTTGATTCATGATTGATTATTTAGATTTTGTTTGATCTTATTCATTCGTAGCCGATGAAATATTTATGACAATGTTAATGAATTATGTATTGTGAAAGAGGTAATATTTCTTTTTATATATATTATATTTTTCTATATTTTCTGAACTTTTATTTTTGATTTGAAAATTTTTTGTTAATAATTTATGCAATGAAAAGTTACATATCTCTCTCAACTATAATCCTTTTTATTTATGTTTAATGGATCTTAAGTTTGGGATTATGTTAATCAGTAAATAAGAGTGCCAGGGATATTAAAGAAAATAGCTTCTGGAATGCAGTACGCTGGTTTTAACCTTTCTCGTCAAGATGTTAGTGTCGCAAATTACGTTCTTCATCTTTTGTTTATGCAGCCGCTGCTGCATTTATTTCTACCGTAAAAGAACCCGCTTTAACTGTAATTATGCATGCCTCAACTAAGAACGAGCTTCTTGATTCGTTCATATATATTCACGATTCATCTTTTATATCTTTTAACCGTCTAAAATTGGAGAAAGTAATTAATTGCGATGATTATTTAACAAGTAATATATAAATTAGTTTTTTTTAATTCAATACATTTTAATTAAACTGTGAATATAACTTAATACTTTAAGTTAGTTTTTAATAGAATATCGATTTCAAGTTCTTACCTAGAACTTTACAATTTTTAAACGAACGATTTAATTATAATCGACGAGAATCGATAAAATTTAATAAAGAAGAATCAATACACGATACACTATAAAAATGTTATACACATATTATATTACATACATGCATGTAATATAATTGAAAACGATTTTTTCCTCTCTTTTACATCACAGAAAATAATAAAAATTTCTCGCTGACTGGCATCGGCAATTGAGTAGAAAATACCGTCGTTAATTACCGTAGTAATTACACAGCGCGATTATATCGGTTTCCTCTCACTTGTGCAAATCGTACGTGTGTGCAACTAAATCGCGGCAAGTATGTGGTGTACGGTAACGAGTGCGACTCGGGGCTGCACGTATTTTTTTCACGAGCGTTACTGAAAGCTGAATTATTCTCCGTTCCGGCTGTTTCTCGCCCTTTGAACCTCTACCTTAGCTCACCGATAATTACACCGTCGACCTACGCTCGTAAAAAAGGGCGACAAAATGGCCGCGCGCCAAAAAAATCGCCGATGACGATGCAAGGGTGCAAAAAAAAAAAAGAACAAAGGGAAACTCGTCCTCTATATATATACCATATAATGATGTTGTGCGCGGTTTCTCGTTTCGTAACGTCATAAATCAGGACCACGTGTTTCGAACTAATAGGAAGAAAGTTCAAAGTGTCAACGCAAGAAATGCGTCGCAAGGGTTGTGATTGTTGTTGAGAAGCTTGAGGTCAGTTCTCTAAGAAGGGATAATTTGTAATATTAGAGGAATAATTGTTACACTTGAGATTATATAGATACATATACAGATGAAAGGGAGAATCAGATGTTTCTTAATTTAATGTGAGATATTTTAAAAAAATATCGCTGCAATATTTTTAGAATGCGTTGTTACAGATTTATATATTCAAATTTTTAGTATATGATTTTTCTCTCTTATATTTTTATATCGTATTTAATATAAATATATATGAACAATAAATTGAATAACAATGATATTTTTAATTTTTTTTTTTTTTACGAGAACAGAATATTAAAATTTTAATCATGCCATTTTATTATGTTTACGATTTTATATTTTTATCTTTATTACACTATATATTATATATTTTTACAATATATCTACAAGTTTTTACCACAAAGAGAGAGACGAAAAGAAGGAATGAAATAAATTTTTATTCATATTAACTTTCACTTACAATTAGTTAGTCTCGTCCACGGCCACAGATATATAACTATCAAATTAGGATTGTACAATAACATCTGCTAATTTAATAGTAGCGGTTAACCGTAATATATATCGCGTGAGGATAACGGTTATGATAACGGATATGAATAACGATTATTACGATGGTCGAAGAATAGCGAGTTAGTGATGGTGATGATGGTTTATTGCAATACGACTAATCTTCTTCTTGTATTCTTGGCAATGTTGGTGCTCGCACGAAAAAAAAAAATGAACGAAATGGCATGCGGAATTTGACAGGAGGTGAGTCTTAATTCCTTAACTTTCCGCGTGAAATTCTGTTGATATACGTACATGCATGTGTTTCGAGTGGATCTTCTCACGAGTATATTTTGCTATCTGGCGCGATCGATCTCATGCCGATAATAATGCATTAATTAATGGAGATTTCGCGGGAGATATATTTCACTCCTCGAAAGGAGGAGTGCTATACACGAACTTTCGCCGCTCGTAAATCTCTCTTGCGTTTGTTATTTCGTGTGCACATTCCTCATCGTAATTGGCCAAACTCTACTGAGGATCAATTAATGAAAGATGTTGCCGTGACGATATAGGTGATTCGCAATTACAAATTGCTGCTTTTGTTTTTATACTCATCAGATATTCGGTGAGGCATGTAATGACACCGTGTCAGTCGATGTAACGATTTGCGATTTCTCTATATGTTTTATATAACACTTTTATTTTAAAAACTCTGTGAAAGTGTTTTCTTTTTCCGTACAATTTTTCGATTTTATTTTCAATTTTCTGACATATGTATATATTAACTGAACTTATGTTTCAAACATTGCAATAAAACTGTAGCCTTTCATTTGACTTACTAGTATTTATGGCATTGTGTATTTAGGATGTATTATATACATTTTTGCTTTCTATAAATTTATGTTATATAAATTAGGCACTTAAAAATAAATTTATATTTTATTTTAAATTATTTATTATATTCTATGATCGATATTTGTTTTTCTTTTTTGATTTTTATTTGATATGAACATTCGCGCAATTTTTATTCTCATACGTACTTAATGGGGATATATTTTCTGTAACAAGTGGAGTATCATTTTACGATCTTATTGTTGCATGATGGTTATTAAATTGATACCTATTGAATATATAAAACCCCAATCGTCTGGTTCATCATTTATGCAGCCAGACGATTTTCGATGGCAACATTCAAAGTTAGCCACACACATACATATATATCATTACTTTCAATAAAAAAGTGACATTTATATATATCATTTAGTACTCTGTACATTTTACATATAATGTATATTCATGAATCTGTGTGAGATGTGTTTCAATATTTTATAGCTTTTTATATGTTCGTGTAGCGAGGTATTTTGTTAATGCACGGTAATAAATTGATCTTAATAATCTCAAGTGCTACAGATTAATAACCAAAATATGTTAAAGTGATATTTACATTCGTAAATATTTTAATTACAAATAAACATTTTCTATTGTCTTTGATAAATAGAAGCAGCAAGAAATGAACAAGAACAAGGAGATTATCGTGCTGAATCATAAAAGATCTAATGCCATCAACATAGGTATGACAAAGTTGCCGCCACCAAGATCCATTAAAACTGCGATCTTAAAAATGGATGCTACGATCATGAATAGGGAAGGTATCGAGGTGAGAATCTATCTTTTCTATTTTTTTTTATTCCTTGAGTTTGTATTTTATAATAATTATTCGCGAGGAGCTATTAAAAAATTACATAAAATTAACAAATATATGTAACATTAAGAAAAGTACAAATGCGTGAAATATATTTTGTCTATTTTATTTTTTGAAATAATAAAAATTATTATTTCAAACAATTTTTCGCACGAAATTTATTATCGTTGTATTTCTTATTTTTCGTTTTCATTTTGTAGCTTTGATATTTCACTACATATATATTCTTAATCTTTTCCGATTTTTCTTCGCATATTAAACATTTGTCCAAGTAAATCACACGGATCCTTTAATTTATGACTGTAGGAGCGCTTTGGAAATTTACCAATTTCTGTTCACGGTCGACCTCACGATTCAGTTAAAATACACTCCTATATATCTTCTAGTTTTCGAATTTATTATAATTTCTCTAATTTTCAATTGGTTTTTCTTCTTCGTTCGTTCCCTTCCTGCCGCGAAATCCTCCCGACAGAAACTTTTGACGATGCTGCCTACCAAGGAAGAAAAATCCAGGATACAAGAAGCGCAGGCCGCAAATCCTGATCTTCCTTTAGGATCGGCCGAGCAGTTCCTTCTGACTTTGACCTCCATCTCGGAATTGCCAGCAAGGCTGAAGCTCTGGGCGTTCAAGCTAGATTTTGAAAATTCTGAGAAAGTAAGTACAAATCTGAATTTCATGCTTACATTTCTTCTAGTTGATAACTGAAAATTAATCAATAATAAATTTCTGTCAATTTCAAATTATCTTGCAAAATTGCACTCTTTATCAAAATTATTGCGATTATGGAAATATAAATTTTATCACTTGTCAATAACTTTATTAGGTGTCATTTATTATTCAGTATTGTCTGTTCGCAAATATTATTTTATTAATATATATTTTTTTAAATTATTTACCAAGCGCAATAATAAATTTCTGTCAACTTCAAATTATATCTTGCAAAATTGCACTCTTTATCAAAATTATTGCGATTATGGAAATATAAATTTTATCACTTGTCAATAACTTTATTAGGTGTCATTTATTATTCAGTATTGTCTGTTCGCAAATATTATTTTATTAATATATATTTCTTTAAATAATTTACCAAGCGCAATAATTTATTCAGAGGGATACTCAAACAATATTATGTATGTGACAGCGGTTTTGATTTTGAAAATGTATTCGCTGATGTGCATGACAATTAAATTGGCTTTCTTCCTTCCTTTCTTTTCTTCTCCTTTTCTCGACTTTTGCGCGCGGATTTCATCGCAAGCGTGAAGACGATGAAAAGGAATGCCAGCAATGCAGTTAGAGGATGTCGGCAGCCAGAAGAGCGTTCTTCGCGCGTTTCTTTGACGACAAAATCGCGAATTCCGATATTGTACAGGAACTGAGAAAGGTCACTTGACGACCTGGCTTCCTCGGCATCGCTCAAGCGTGGCCGCGTATATAGCGTGAGATAGCTTTCATCAGGAAACTCGACTGCTTTTGTATCTATTTTGCATGCTCTCGAAATGTGTGAAATGAGATGAGCTTAACCGCGATTATTTCAAAATTAATATATAAAAATCCTGAAGAGTTATCAATTTAAATGGAAAAGAAATTTACTACCTCTTTATGGTTTTTTCGTTTCCGGGTAGAATTCGCTTCTGGAATCCGTGAATGAACGATCTCGCGAATTCCAGCTCGCAACAATGTATACATAATTGTGAAAATCGATACGATAACGAGCGCATACGCGAGGAACGAGGAAATAAACGCGAACGGTCTTTGTGACTTTCAGGAAATCGCGGACCCTTTGATGGATCTGAAGCAGGGTATGGAGACTCTGCGAGTGAATAAAACGTTCCGTGGGATTCTGAGCACGCTCCTTTCGATCGGGATATTTCTCAACGGAAATGAGGTGGGTATTGAATGCCGGCCAAATGATATCCGCTTAATCCGTATGTCCCTATGTAACCCTGGGCAAAATCGTAGCGAAATATCCGCGCAATTCAACGATATCTCGATAATTTTGTACTAACTTCTGGCTTCGAGTGAGATGCCTCACGTGCCACTTGGCCAACTGCCACATTTTTTCGAAAACAATCTCGGTTTAATACGGAGTTTTATTGCAATTACGGTTCGCTATTTATCCCCCGGAATGGCGCTGGAATTTTCGAGTTATGAGGAGATATTCACTGTATTAAAAAAGTTTCATCGCATTTTCCGATGGTTACAGTTGTATCGAATTAATTTCCGAATGAAATTTCTGCGGTGAACACGAGTATTATTTGCATTTTATACGAATTAAATTTTTGTATTATGTAATATAAAAATTGTACGGAGAGGTTACAAAGGTTTTGTGAAATAATGAACTAAATAATTTTATTACATATACGTACGTATATACGTATAATAATTATATAAAAATTCTAATTAAATAATGCAATTAGAATTGTTGAATTTAAAATATATGTATTTCTATAATAGAAAATTTCAGAATTTTATTTCTTACTTTTTATTTAAAATATATTATACATTTGTTATTGCATATCCTAATTCTACAATATTATTACATAATATATAAACGAACAAATTTATCGATAATGAAAATGCGACGTTACAAAATGAAGACTAATTTATTTTCTGTGCAATGCTATATCCTTCTCTTTATTTTTTATTTAACTTTCATGTTAGGACAAAAAATTAATGAATTTGATAAAAAATTAATTATGTTTTCGTTATAATATAGGTAATTATAGCGTTATTTTAAAAGAACTGTACTTTTTCGCGTGCAAAAAATCTCGAAATTTATGAGGGTCGAAACGAGACACGCGATTTTCTCGGCGATACGTCATGTCACGAGGGTGTCGCCTTTTTTCAGGTGAAGGGCTTTCAACTAGAATACCTCGTCAAAGTACCTGAAGTGAAGGATACGGTTCACAAGCATTCGCTGCTTCATCATCTCTGCCACATGGTGATGGAGAAGTTCCCGGATTCTACGGACCTTTATTCCGAGGTGAGAGAGAGAGACTGTTTTAGTTGAAAACTTTACGTTTTCGTCGAGATGTCGCGATAGCGCGACCGTATTTACGAAATCGTGGCAAAGTTTGTTTGCTCGTGTCCGCGCAACTTTTTCAAAAGTCGTCTTCGTGATTTCATTCTTTCAGTCCGATTGTCTGCCTCGCTTCGAGTTTCGAGTTTCGGGTCAATGCGGAATTAAATTCTTTTTCTTAAATCGCTTACGGAACTGTATTGATCTTGATTCTATTGATCCTGTGTTAAAACTTGGAACAGTTTCGATTGTTATAATGTGCGCGTTCTCTATTGAGTATTTCTTTTACATTTCGTTAATTTTTTTGCAGCAATGCATGTCAAATAGTCTTACTTTTAATTTTAAACGACGCACATTGAAATTATTCATTTCTCTATACAATATTAACATTATTTTTAAATATTAAAATATATATTTTATATAATATTATATAAAAATATTTTAAATGTCAAAAATATAAAATTACATAAAATATATCTTATAATGTATTATATATTAACATTATTTTTAAATATTAAAATATATATTTTATATAATATTATATAAAAATATTTTAAATGTCAAAAATATAAAATTACATAAAATATATCTTATAATGTATTATATAGTATAATTTACATGGATATATCCTCTGTCGAATGAATGATTTCTTATTAATTATTTTTATTATTTTGTGAAACGAGAGGGAGAAGTAATTACTTTCGAGAATTCACCATTAAACTACGTTCCGCGTATTTCTTAAATTGGAATAGAGCTTTCTCGGGGCACCGTCGATGTGGCTTTGCTTTCAGATTGGCGCGGTAACGAGGGCCTCGAAAATCGATTTCGACGAGCTGGCGGCGAACATCGCGAAACTCGAGAGCGAGTGTAAAGCGTCTTGGGACCATCTCAAGCTCATTGCGAAGCACGATGGTTCCACAATGATGAAGGTCAAGTGAGTATAATCCTCGTCGAGTTTTACCGCCTACGAACCAATTTCCGAGATTCCCTCTTGTCGCTCTTCCTGAAAATGTCTTCCTTTTCGAGAGCTCGCGTTTTAAAAGTTTCGAATGTCTCTTCGATAAATTCGGGAGAGTTTTTTTTTTTTTTTTTTTTTAAATGAAACTGGCTACCATCCAAGTGGAACTTCCATTAATTATCGAAAGGACATTTTCTTCTCCTTCGAGATTTTCCACTCGGACTTTCTGCCGATTATCATCCGCATTGCGCTTTCGATCTCCCAATAGACTTGCATTTTTTATCTCTCCTGACACTTTTAATTATTCTTTTTATTAAATAAAAAGCATAATTTTATTTAATAATAAATTAATAATTTTTGTTTTTTAAAAATGATTTGAAACATTTCCATTTTGTATTTTGTTGGACGCGAAATTGTTTGTTAAAGTATAATATTATATTCTATTAAAATATATTGCTTCCTCTTTGTGTCGTAGGATGTCTGATTTCCTTGCCGATTGCGCTGAGAGGATAATCGTCTTAAACATCGTTCACAGACGTATTATATATCGTTTCCGCAAATTCATTCTATGGCTCGGTATACCATTGCATAGAATACAAGACACGAAACCGAACGAGTTCTGCAGGATTGTATCCGAATTTGCTCTGGAGTACAGGACCACCAGGGAACGAGTGATACAGCAGCTTGAGAAGAAAGCCAATCATCGGGAACGCAATAAGACCAGAGGAAAAATGATAACGGAGGTAAGCCATTCTTGTTTTTCGTCGAAAAACCTCTGCGGCGAATTATACCGGCTAGATTTATTATTCTGAAATTTCTAATAGTGTGATCTTATTTATCTTTGATTTCCAAAATATCTCGTTTTTTAATTAAACTTTTAATTAACATTTTACATTCATTTGCGATATAAAATTTTAAAAATTCTTTTTAATATTATATTTTTATTTGTATTAATATTATATTTTTAAATAATTTTTATATTGTTAAATATTCTTTTATGAAATTTTTCACACATGATGTTTGCAGATTTTTAAAATCTCTCTCTTACGTTTGTTACAGGTCGGCAAGTTTCGTACAAAAGAGGATCGAGCGGATGCGGAACTCAGACAACTACTTGGCAGTGACATTTCAGATGTCGAGAGTATCCACGGTACTTTACCATGGCGAAGACAAAGGAAAGACGGTGAGTCCTGTCAGATTCTATCTCTTCCGAAATTTTCTTTCCTTCTAGCTAAATCTAAAGATTTTAGTAGTTTTTATATTCGCTTATTTTTTTTCTTTCTTTACATAGTGAATATTTTATAAATATGCAGCAATTAATATTTTCTACATTATATTAATAACAATGAACATTTTAAACTATAATTAAATTGAAGTGCACAAATGTTGTTTTAATATGCAACAACAGCTGTTTTAAGTCAAAATATTAAAAAATTATGTCCCATTACGTAATACATTATTAATAATATAATGAACGCATTACGATATGTAACATTTAAAATTTTTAGTGTCCAAATCACAAATATGTAAATGTGTCACATATGATACAATTTTTTTTTCTAAATAATCGAATTGAAAATTATAATATTATCATATCCAATATAGGTGCACAATGGTTTGTTCGCTGTATTTACGATCAAAGTGAAAAGCATGAGTCTCGTTTTTGCGATCGGATGCAGGCGAGCGATTAAACGGCGTTACGATATCCCAGCTTCTATTTGGCGCCGCTTTTAACTCGCGAGAAAATAATGCACTCTAAATGACGGTGGCCGCGCGCGAGTCGGCTATTTCACCGCGGATAAGAACAAAGTGCGAGAATTTCTCTTCATCTCCGTAATGTTCCGGCTCGGCTCGGCTCGGCGGCGGCGCGCGCGAGATAAATGTCGCCCTTAAGCAGCAGCTCTTGCAGGCAAGATTTAAGGATAGCTCCGGGTCATTTGACGACATTACCGGAAAACGAGAAGTAAATGCGTCGCGCCGTCGTCCTCGTGATTATACGGCGCGTTCGCGGATTCCAGGGTTCTTCCTTCGCCCTCGTGTTTAGCGGGACGTGAAACTTACCGGCTCGCTAGATAGGTCCCCGTTCGTTATCTTCATAGCACAGAGAGACTTGTTCTCTCGGCGAGCTTTTTTCTTTCTCTTTCCCTTTTATGCGCGACTTGAATATTTTTTCTCTCGAAAATTTCACGACTGCGAAATGTTTGAGGCTGCTTATATTACGTCGCAACCCTATAAAATGTAAGCTCGGCAGTAAGTGGGATTATTATATCGCGAGAAGCGTCAAGGTAGAACGACTGTCTTCGACGGTCGAGTTGTTGTTTTGTAAATTTGGTATTTTTCGGAGAAAAATTTCGACTTGAATTTTGTTTCGCTCATTCTTTATCCCGCTTTTCTTATGCGCGTTACATAAGATCATAACATTTCCTCAGGAGAGCGGAATGTAAAAGTATAGTTAACTTCCAGGGGGAATATTCGAAGCGACGAGTAGATGTTATTCGAGTTGCCCTGGAGAGAGAAGTATATAATAACAGTTTCTAAGAAATCTATTTCTAGAATTCGTTCGATAGAATTTTATTAGACTCATTGTCACAAATTTTATCGTAATATTGTTCGCAAATTTATTATTTGCCACACTTGTTCCTTTTCGATTTTCTTTCAATTATTGTATCATTTTATAGTATCATGAATTAACTTAATGTGAAAATAATAATTAGCAATTATGTATACCTTTTGCATTAAAAAAAATATTGTTAATCAGTCTACTTTGCTATGGAGATCAGATTTTAAATCTGTAAAAGTTTAATTACTCTCACAGAAAATATAATAACCTAACAATTAAAATCAATGCATTGTTAGATGATTGACTCTGTTAGTTATGTTTCGCTAAAATATTTGAAATATCCTGCTTTTATGTTATCACGATAAATATGACCAGTCAGAGATATTCAGCATTGAATTTAAGATCGAGGATCCATCCACTCAAGGTACAAAGATCTTATCTATCTCTATTACTTACGAGCAAAACCCCACATAAAAGCCATTCCGGGAAGGAGATCCAACTGAGAAACAACTGACACGTCTGGTTCTCATAAGACCGTATTACATTGTAACCGCGGATCACCACTTTCTTGGGGAGAGACGTGGAATTTTTATTCCCGCGCAAAATAAGGGAGGTGCGCGAAGGATTGGACCGACTGAAGGAACAAGGGTCGGTGCCCAGCACCGGTCCTGTACGGCTCGTAAACCCTAACCACTCATGTGCATTACCGTGGCTGCGGCCATCATAACTTTTCTCCCCTTTATTTCCGTGCATGCTCCGACATAAAGCATCTAAACGTTCCATCTAAGTCGCGCTGGCGTCTCCAGCTGGATATGTCGACGCTCCTTTAGCGGTATTAATAACTGCGAAAACTCGATTTTGATGATTTGCTAGCTAATGTGACAGCATTGGAAATAAACGGCTCAATTACACGCGACAGCAACCACTACGTGCTTTTAAGGATTCTATTTTTGCTTTCGTATTATTTTATACATAGCGTTCTATTTTTAATTTTGATAGACAGATTCGAATATCTGTCGAAGTCGTCTTTTCAAAAATTCATCGCTTTTCCAATACCGTTTTTTTTTGCAGGTTTTTTTTGAAGACTTTTACGTGCTAATAAAAAGCGTAATAAAAGAGAATCGAATAAAAAATTTGAAACAATTTTTAGAATAAAATATTAATAACAGTATAATATAAATTTTTTTAACGACATGTTATCAGAGAGTTAAATACATATAGGTATATTTAATTCAATTTATTCAATATTATATTGTATATTTTGATTGAATTTCTTCGAGGATTGGTCTTAAGTAAAATCATATATTTAACATTCTCTCTCAATTTGTTTTTCTAGTCAGAATCCTATTGTATCATTAATTCCAATTTTATGGAATGAATGCATAAAGTAGAACATAGCGTATTATCAGAATGTATCAGATCAGCGAACAGGAAGCTATTTGAAAGCGTTTACCATTCCTTACGGTAGAATAACCACGGGAATGAATTGTCTAGATTGACCTACGGTCATCAAAGAACGCGTAATAAGCGAGACTTAAAAACTTTTTCTTCTACTCTTCGTTCATGAAAATTCTATTACCACCTTTCTCACTCCTTTTTCTATCTCGTCTGCTTTTCTACAAGTCTTGTATCGAGAGTGGAACTACCGCCATGATAGCTTTTCTGGGACGAGTTTGAAAGAAGCTCTGTAAAAGAAATTCTGTGCATTTGACAGTTTCAAAGTTTCTGCCCTGCGGATTGAACTGAATGACTATAGAAAATAAGATAGTGAAACGATGTGGAAGACGAATTCTAGATAGTAGATATACGCGATTTTCAGATAGCGAGTTGTCTTTGTTAAATATCTTTTTCTCTTTCAGTATTATTCTGCATGAATAAACAGGAAAATCCATCTTTGAATAGCATTGAGAATCGTGAGAATAGCTGAAACTAACATCCGAGACGCATTACATAATAGCTTGTATTGTTAGCGAAATTTCGTTTCGTTAAATAAATCCTCAAAAATGTATGGAAATTGTACCGATTTATATAAAGAAGAAAATTCATGTTCAAAAAAATATAAATTAACAGCTGTTTGGAAAGCACATTTAATGAAATTATTACAGAAACAAAATATATTTTGTGTCGAGTATCAGACAGGAGGAAAATTTTGTTTCAGGACGTATAATTCCACTGGGTCCAGTATTGAGGGACGAAAGCACCAACGGCAACTTGGCTGATGGCGTTGACGAACTGTTGGAGTCTCTGGTGAAAACTGCGACGAAGACACCAGCCACGAGGACGACGCCACGCGAGCGCAAGAGGACCAGACACGCCGATCGTAAGTCTTGTAAGTGTGATCCCAGCACCTTGCACCAAGATTCTCCTCTTTATCGAACGACCTCTGGTCGAGGAATCGGTCTATCCATCGGTGGATAGATTCCTTGACAGCGTATTTGTGGATGCAACCACACATAGATCTTTGATTGTTTTAAAATTAAATCCTGATGTGATGTGTATACAGGGTGTCTCACATAAAGTGTCACAAAATATACAAGTAAATCTCGTTATTTAGAGACGATTTTTTCTCGGCAAAAATATCGAGGAAAAGCCATCATTTTTTGCAGTTTTCTATTTTTGCCATCATGTATCTTTGTAATTAACTAAACCTTAAATTAAAATTTTATTAAAGTAAAAAAGTAATCTCTATCTAAAATTAATTGGAGAGAGAATGTGGTTTTGTTAATGTTTTATTTCCACAAGGCTTAGTTTGTGAAAAACCTTTCATTTTCATCGCTTATAACTCGAAATTTTTGGTGAGGCTTCAATATTTTTGCTGAGGAAAAATTGTCTTTAAATAACAAGATCTACTTGTATATTTTTGGAGTGACACTTTATGTCAAACGCTCTGTATATAACTGTAGATATTTTAACTATAGATAATTGAAGAAAAACAGCAAATGATCAAGTAAAATAATAATACAGCATAGAGTATTAAAAGTAAAAAAATAGATGTGTGTGAAAATAGTTGGACATATAAATTTACGACAAAGCGGAAATTTGTAAGGAGTGTGAAAATTCGCCATTGAAGTTTCATCGAAACAGGAAATGCTGAAATACGATGCTAACCGTAAAATTTTCCAATAACTTCCGGTGCCACAAAAGCCTTGAATTATTCGATACGTAGTATACATTATTGAAAACGGTTGGGTCCACGGATAGAGCTGTGAGGTCACCGGGAGTCGATCGATAAGCGAGAAGTTTGGAGATGTCGGCGTCGACGCCTTAGATCGAACATGCGATCGTACGCGTGTCGTCGATTCGGTTTTTCTTATACTTTTCATGCACTTTATTAGCACCGATCTGTCTCTATCTCGATATTCGCGCTCATTTATCTGTCCTAATACATATACTCCTGCAATTGATAGAAATTCTAATAATATAAGACTTCCCTGTACTGTCCAATTTGGAAATTTGACTTGGACAGTAATTTCAGAGTATATGTAGTAATATAGAAATTATAAATAATAATAATCCTTAATTGTGGAAAGAAGAAAGCAAAAGATATTATCATATACAAATATAGGATGTATATATATATATATATATATATATATATATATATATATATATATATAAAATGATTATAAATATTTTTTTATATAAGATAAAATTTCAGATATATATTCCTTGACAATTTTTTAAAATTTTTCAAGAATTTCTTAATATATAACAAAACGAAAACGAGAAAAAGATTAAGATGATGTGCTGAAAAATTAAAATTTTTCACGTTAAACATCTCTATAATCAAATTTTTTTGAAACAAATTTTAAATTGGTCTGTACATCACAGAGTTTATTATTAATTAACTAAAATTAAATTTTGCCCATTTTTAATATTAATTATTTCGATAAGTAAAATGTCAAATTGAAATGATATTTAGGGGAGACAGATTTAATTTTATTTAAAAAAAAAATCTTATGAATGCTTTCGAAGTTTGATATAAATCCTACGCACAAAGCGCATCCGAGCAGATTTTGTTCATCGATCAGAAAGAAATTTCGCTAGTGATTGTATTTATGGTCAGTGAGAAAAAACGAAGTTTATGTGCAGATACGAACGTGAATCTACAACGAAAAATCCGGCAGTCCGATAACGTAACGCTCCGCAACCAATGCCGGCAGATTATGTCGTTTCTATGTTTCTGTTTTGTCGGGACGTTGATCGATCCCTCGGTACGCAGGAAGTCGAAATAATCCTTGCCGCCGAGGCGATAGCGCGTAAATCTCGTCGTAATCCGATCGTCGAGTGCGTTGACCGATCTTTCCCTCTCGCGCGATACTTATGATAAGCTCGAGTTCAATACTCGCCCGAGCACGCCTTTTTTTGTCATTGTAGGAGAAAAAGTGGTATAATTAATTTAATATTTAATTTCAAGCAATTCATATCTCGATAATCGGTTTTCCGTTCGATTTTGTGCTGGAGTGTTTTGAATTTCTTGACGTTTATACAATCGATATTGGTATGTTACATATACAGGATGTCCGGTAACTAACGGACCAACGATTACAAGTGGATTCTTTGGGAACGATTTTTCCTCAGCAAAAATGTCGAAAAAGGTCATCATTTTTTACAACTTTCCAATATTTGTCATTATGTATCTTTATAACTAAATCCTCAAATTAAAATTTTATTATAGTAAATTCTACCTGAAATTAACTGAAGAATGTAATTATGTCAGACTTTTAACTCCAAAACCAGAGAAATTGGCCAGAAAATCGGCCCTTAATCATTGGTCCGTTAGTTACCGGACACCGTGTATATAATAAAAAAAGACACAAATATGTTCGAGAATAAAATTTCGAAAAGGAATCAGAACTTTGACAGCAAAGATGGTTGTGGAAATAATTTCTAAGATTGGAGTAAAGTTAATCCGAACTAAATGATAGTTGAAGAACTAACTGTAAAGGGTAACATTCGTCGCTACGACAGCATGTTCGGCCTGTAAACGACTTTCCAAAGATATTTCTCGGGGGATGGAGAGTCTATCCCGCTTCTCTCCTTTCTTCATTCCGATTCGTCCTTTGCGATCCCGATTATCCGTCTCTGATCAAACTGTCACGGGAACTTTGCGGTGATGGTCTCGATTCAACTTCATCTCTCCGACCTACTAATCCGCTGGATTTCAATCACTGTTCTGACACGAAATTAGGCACACGCTCCGATAACTTTACTTGAGTTAAGATTAGCGGACAGCCGGCTTGCTAACGGGGTGGCCTAGCGTTCTTGCGTTCCTCTTCTTTCTGTTCTGACAGTGAAGCGATCGCGCACCCGGGAGAACAACACTACGCCGGAGGGGTATCAACCCTGATGGGAGGTTTCGTGATCTCTGCGATTAAGGTTTAGTGCTTTTTAAGGTTTCCCCTTTACGGCCTTCTTCTATCATCCAGCATGCCATGCATTATCCGCATGACTTTTGATCCGCATTTTTCTCTAACACTTAGATTCACTAATTTATTCATCTCTTACTTGTTAATCGGATTATTAATTATTAATGATAGACGAGCGATATTTTTATTGGATTCACAAATTAATTTGTTTTGAATTGGGGATTTCATTTGCAAATATATGTACGTATTTTTTATAAATATTAAATTTAAAGTGTCAGGCAATAAGAGCCAAATCGCGGATGACAGTGCGTTATCCCAACGAAACTAAATTTTTTCGTTAGAATTAAAAATCTGTGCACAAGGCACCAAATTTTACTTGGTCACGGCCAAGATTTAAGATTGGAATAATCTCTACTAGAGATTTAATTCCATACATCCCCTGTTCCTCCCTAAGGAAATAATATGCGAGAGAAAAATATAGATCCGAAAGTCGCTTAATCGGGAATCGAACTCGAGACGAAATTTGGTGCCTTGTGCACAGGTTTTTAATCCTAACGAAAAAATTTAGTTTCGTTGGGATAACGCACTGTCATCCGCGATTTGGCTCTTATTGCCTGTTTGACACTTTAAATTTATATTTATATTTATATTACAGAGCCTTGTTAAACTCTTACGTATTTTTTATTTTATTCAAACGCACATCTTAATTTAAAATTCCGCAGTTCGTAAGCAATTTCAGAATCAACGGACATTATATAATATCAAATACGTTTCAAGTTTCGGAAAAATATATACTCTGATTATTTGAAAATGGGGTTGTAATAGAATGCATATATATGCCGCGACTTCTCGCGAAAAGCTAGAAGCTATTTGGAAACTTTGAGACTTTGCTTTCGGATAACCGAATACGTTAAAATCATGCGCCTTGAACTTTATGCAATTTGAGTTTCCTATAATATGCATAAGTGAGGCTAAATTGCGCTTGTCGACGGGGGACCAGGCAGGGAAGAGGATAAGTAAAAAGTTCGCTTCCTAAACGGAGCCGGTGGTGTCTAAGTTTCTTGACTTAATAGAGACTTACGCAATGCGAATGTCCTTCTTGCATGAAAACTTGCGATGCCTGGTATAAACCCGCAACGCTTTTCATCTATTTGCATTTAAAGCTCGATACAAATGTCTTGCCACATTTGTATATATATATATATATATATATATATATATATATATATATGAAAATTCACATGCATATTTATATCAATATAATTCTGAGATTGTACTTTGACTGCGTCTTATCGAAATATTTTTATGGAACTCGATCATGTAATCTTTATAGCCTTACTCATCCATCTTGATACGTGTAAAGTAAAAAGATCACATTTAATTTCGCTTTCTGAAAAAATCTGTAGCTATAGAAGTAGTTAGAAATTAATTGTATTAGTAGTGATTTGTAGTTAGAAAATTATGAAACTGAAAGAAATATCAGATTGACTCTATAATATACACCTACAGACTCTATAATATACACCTACAGAAGGATTTTAGATGAATAAAATCTTTGAAAGAAAAATGATGCTCCCTGAATGTGCTGCAGAGCGTTTAAGGATGAGTTTATTGAAAGCGGGACGAATGAATTTATTTTTAACGTCTTTAAGACGCTGGATTTTCTTGGCGTTACGAAGAAGAACATCGGTGTCTGACCTGCAAAAGGTGCCTGCTCTCGCTGAGTGTTCGCATCGATCCGTAGCAACACAGTAGTTCGCTCGCTAGCGAAATTATTGATGCGCCACGCCTGGATTGGCGCCCGAATGATTTATCGATGTGCACGATCGTTTGAGCATAAAGTATGATTTTCATTACCACTCTAACATCACGTCGAACATAAACTATCAATCTGCAGTTTCATATTTTATATATCGTGGCAACTGTCTGTATTGCCGGAAAAAGCATTAGCATCGAAAAATTAAAAAAAAAAAATAATAATAATATAACTTTTACATATATAAAATGAGCTTCCATTGTCTATTATTTTTATTTTTATATAAAATATATTTTACAACATTTACAATATGTCGGCATTGAAAATTTAATATTTAATATTCAAACTATATATATATTTTAAACTATCAATCTGCAGCTTCATATTTTATATATCGTGGCAATTGTCTGTATTGCCGGAAAAAGCATTAGCATCGAAAAATAAAAAAAAAAAAAAAAATAATAATATAACTTTTACATATATAAAATGAGCTTCCATTAAAGCATTGTCTATTATTTTTATTTTTATATAAAATATATTTTACAACATTTACAATATGTCGGCATTGAAAATTTAATATTTAATATTCAATCGCGAAAAAGCATTGTCTATTATTTTTATTTTTATATAAAATATATTTTACAACATTTACAATATGTCGGCATTGAAAATTTAATATTTAATATTCAATCGCGAAAAAGCATTGTCTATTATTTTTATTTTTATATAAAATATATTTTACAACATTGACAATATGTCGGCATTGAAAATTTAATATTTAATATTCAATCGCGAAAATCACAATTTAGCAAAATCTATAATAAATAATATTATCTAAATATAATATCGAATAAAATATTAATATTTGCTAATCTAAAAATTAATAAAAGATAATTTTCGAAATAAATTCGGGATACGTATTAAAATATTTGTTGGCAATTAGAAACTGTTATTCATAGTATATGCACATAATTTTCAAATGACTAATTGCCGATATAGCGGACAATTTATAATAATGCTATCGTATTAATTAGTAATATACCGTATTAATCGCATTTGCTCATACAATGAGAATTTGTCCGTTATTATCAAATTCATGCAAAAGCTAGTAAAGATATTTGGTCGGCGCGAACGCTGTGAGTGAAATCGGTTTACATTTCATTAACGACACGTTCACGGGACGACGCGTATAGATTGCATGCGTTCACATACAGTATATACGTATATATATATATATATACGTAGCACCCTCGTGCGCCGACACGTAACACACCAAATAATCAGCTCTCGGACTTTGTGTTTGTAAAGTCGTCAGAGCACGGGCGATTTAACTGAGCAACATTAAATTGGAATGCCACACGACACGAAGCTTCATCGATTCTAGCGACGGATAATAAAAAAAAAAAGAAAGGGGAAGAGAAAGAGAATTATTGCGCACATTATATATGGTCGCTTTTATAGAAAAATTAAAATTTACGATGGCTGAATAACGGTTCGTACATAATACGGGAAGGTCAGAATATCGCTCTGCTAATATTTTCGTAATTTACGCATCAATTATTGTTCGCGACATTAATTGTAAAAAATATTTATGTAAAATTTTGGGGTGACATTTATATTTCACGTGTAACCTACATAATCTTTTACGAGGACGCGTTGGTTAATTTACAAATATTATGGAAATGTCACATGTGAGAGCATTTGTGTTTTAATTATGTTAATTTTATCTCTTCTAATTTATCACAAACAGATAGAAATATTTCAAGTTAAAATATCAGCCTTATAGTGAGAAGGAATAGGATTATAATATGTGTATATATATGGACTTCTGCCCTTTGGCGAATACGTCTATTGTAAGGATAACGAGAAGGTACAAAGGGACAGTAGGTAGGTAATTGTTGGAGGAAGAAAATATACGTTGAATTCTCCAGTAGTTTGTGATCGAGTCGAAAGAATCCTTTGTTATACGATACCAGATCAAAGACATTGGTATTATCGATATCGAGGGTCCGAGCGGTGATAGTATCATTATTTTCGAACAGGTACTTTTAGAACACATTCGTTGCGGTCGTTGGTGTTATCGATCCTATACTTATACGAACCGCAATGAAACCGTAATTTACAGGACAATGCGCTAATTCGCTACCGACTTTAATAAGCAGGATTAATTGCAGTGAGAAATAAGCACACAATTTCGTAGTTAAAATTATAATCTTTCTCACGTATATCGCATTTTTTATACATATATATCTTTTTTATTTTTATTATTTATTTTTATATTTTAAAATATGAAATCTCTGAGCTTATAATTATAATGTATACATGTTATTTATAAGATTATCATATTTTTTATGGAATTGACAGTTTTTTTTAAATAATATTTATTTTAGTTTTGAATTTATAGAAATGGAATTATAAATAATTTTTAATAAATTTTCAAAATTTTTAGGGCGAAATTTTACATTGGTTGCGGCAATTTTCTAAATCTAGCAACACATATTAGCTTTCACAATTGTGTATTTGGAATAGTTTGTTTACTATTGAATGTATGGACAGACCACCATGTCCACTAATCTCCACAAAATGGCAAATTGACCCCTGATTAATTATTTACATGATCCAAATAGCACGACATACATATATGCCAGGATTCCGATATATCGATATTGCTACTAATATTTCATTGTCCTGATATCTTCATCAATGATATGAAGTAGTAAAAAAGTAGTTAATTTAAAAAAAATATTTTAATTGCCAATTAATTTTCGTGTTGTAGCTGTATTTTAATTAGGTTGAACGAAATTCGTTAAAATTTTTATCTTTAACAAACTTAATTAACATATGTACTTTTCTCACGTAATTGCAAAAGTCACAATATTGACCAATATTAACATGTATACATTATAGCAGCACATAAAATTATATAATTAGATTCTTGTATTAAATTTTATCGTGAATTATATCATGTATTATCGATTAGATTTTATCGTGGACTGTCTAAGCGGGACTAAAGAAAAATCAATAACATCAAGAACTGACAGTGAGAAAAAGTTGGTATGAACAATTCAAACCCGTGATATATTCTTACAAAATTCATGTAATAATTGCTGCACGCATTTATATATCTATTAATTTTTCTTTATCAAATATCTCATGCACTCTGAAAATAATGGGCTCTTAAAAAGTTTCTCATTCTTCGTCATTTTGTATCGAAGCAAATTTAATAGTGTGAATGCAAATAGAATGAAAAACATCGAATCCAAAATGCTATGCAATATGCGTTAGTAGCTTGTCAAATTTAATTGTGACTTCACGCTATCTCATTTCGGAAATTTTCAATTACGGAATGCTTTCAATAAGCGATTTCAAAGATTCTAAGCGAAAGTGGTGTCAAGTTCAGTAAGTAATATATCGAATATTTTGGAAAATATCTAAATGCCAAAATATTTCTCTCTCTTTTGACAAATTAAGAGCGAGCTTTTTTACAAATATACAAAAATATATATAATAAAAAAGGCAATTTGTATTATTAAATACACACCGAAAAAATTGTATTCTAAGTTCCAAGAGGATCCTCTTAATTTAAGAAATTCCTCTAAACTTTAGTATATTTTTTTCTAAAAATAAGAATAAATTAAGAATATCATCTTAAATTAAGAGGATCCTCTTGGCGCTTGGAATACAATTTTTTCGGTGCGAGAATGAAGGAAACTGACTTACACCATATTTGCTTGTATACACAATGAGAATATTTTCGGCTCCAGCCACTATGTTGCCTTCTCTCTTTCAGTGCGTAGAACGCTAAAGAACGGTCTCTCGGAAGAGGAGAAAAAGCACATCGCCGCCTACATCAAGGGCTACTGACTGTGATAATACTCGAAGACCACGACATGCTCTTACGGAACGTGACGTGAGAGGGTGAGAGCGAAAACGGAAGCTCGGTGAAAACATCGCGAACTCGGCTGCGGGATCCTGTCCGCTGTTATCATCAGGATGCTCCGAAGTCGAACAGCACGACTCTCCGTGACATGTCGTCGAGTTTGACACCCGCGTGCATTTCGCGTGTATGCACCTGTCGTTCGATTTATACCAAGATGGAATAATAAGTAATAGAGGAGAAATGAAAGAAAGAAAAATGAGCGCGTCTTGTTTCGCGAATTAGGCAAATATTAATCGGTGATTTAGACTTAAGAATGATGATCGGGTTCCTCTTAACGCATAGAGACTCTGCAAGAATTTCTTCATTTTTTCTGTTAGATGTATCCTATTTACGTCTCCTTTATGGAGAAATTTATTTGTTTCCCGAAATTCTCTTTGTTCCGCGTAAAAACTTGGGAAAACTTCGACGGCGATTTCGCAGGATTTTCTCTACGTCGTCTGATCCTTTTCTTGTTGAAAGCTACACGCGCGTTGCTTATATATTATATATTTTAGATATTATACTCTGTCGGAGGTGATAGAAACGAGTGAATAAGAGAACGAGGTGCTGGGTTGTTCGCTGGTCGCCTGATATAATCGATAGACTTGCATTCGATTCCGGCCTTATCACTTCGTATAAAAATAGATTGTAAGAAATTTCATGGGAAATATCACTCCTTGAACAAAGAATGAAGAAAAAATAATTTTATTTTTGTGCGTATGAGAAAGCGTAGTATGGTTGCATCTAATAAAAAGCATTTTTAATAAACGAATGCTTGCAAACGATTTAAGCGTTGCATCTGGCTATGCAACAAATTATTATTCCCGTTAAATGCGGACACTTGCCATAGAAAGAGCTTAAAAAATTGCTTTAAGGTAAGTTCAAGTACATATATATATCGATATGAATAAAAATGTATTTTATAAGAGCGCTTTTTGAACTTGCCGATTCAGATCAATTTGACGAATTTAAGCATGATATGCGTAGATTTACATTAGCTGTCGTGATAATATTTCCGTATACACTAGTACTAAAATTCTTTTTCTGAGATTAAAGAAATGGAATCATTCTAAATAAGAGATTTAGGCGCTAAACGAAATATCTGGAATTAATATTGTTAGCGAAATGTGAAGAGTGAATTGCCTAGATCTTTTTCTAAGAAGTAATTCTATGAAATATCAAGGGCTCTCCTTGAAATAAATCGCGGACAACAACTCAGCATCACAATTGTCAGATTCATCTATCACTTCCAATTCGATACTCACGGAGCTGAGGTGCGTCTTATTCGCGCGACAACTAAGATATCATTGTAGTTGAAGAATTACTCGAATCGCGGACGACAGGGTCGACTTGACAATCATATATGTATATAAGACCACGTGCCTCCAAGTTTTATGATCGATCGATTTTTAAGACCGACTCCATTCGAATATAATCAACGTTCTTATTCATGTCGATCCGTTTACAACGAGAGAACAAAAACTGCTATTTTGCGAAATAATTATATTATTCTAGAATGATTCCTGTCGAATAGCGAACATACCGATACATATATGCCGGAAAACGTAAAATTCTAGCAGCATGACTCGCCTAGCAACTTATCGTTAGATATCTTAATCATCATTTTATTATTGCGTTTCGTAGAAGCGCATAATCGCAATCATTGTAATCTTTCTGTGGAAATAAATCTTGAAATAAAATGTGAAATCATTATAAATGGATGAGGATTTGTGATTTTTATCCGCTTTCTTTCCTTCTCTCTTTTTTTTCAGGTATAATTTATTCATTTCAAAAATCCCCGAATTTCTGTTGAATTTCTGTAACATAGAAAAGGTAAGTGTATTAATATGTTAAATATGAATATTATATTTTAGTAATAAATGTGAAATAATAAATGAGTAATTATTAATTGTTACAAATTAATTCTGTATAGAATTTCTCAAACTCTATACAATTCGAATTTTGATTTTTAATTTGTGAATAAATAATTAAATAAAGAATAATTAAAGATATTAATTTTAATGGAGTAATTTCTTTTTCTATTTTTGTATTTGTAGATATTTTACCAAACAATAAACCTAATTACCAATTATCTATTCGAAAATTTAAAATCCATTAATGAAATAAATTAATAAAAAAAGTCTGAAACAATTAAAGTTATTACTACGAAATTTAAATCTTGCTTAGGATAAATGTATGCGGAAAAAATGTATTGTAAAGAATATTTTTATAATAATTAAATATATATGTAAAAGAATTTCATTTGCGTAGAATATTATTGTACAAAGGGATGTGTGTAATTTAAAATGTTTTTTATTTCTACGGTGAAAAATTATAATGCTGCGATTAAACATTCAGACGGGAGAAATGCAGAAATTGAAAGAGGTGGTTATATAACAAATTGTGCTCGAGACACATGATTTATTATTAACCTTCATCCAACTTTAACAACATACAATATAATGTAGTAATAAAAACGCATCAGTTAAAATGTAATAATGATAGCGACGATAGGGGAGAGGCTCGCGTAAGAGCGACCACATTTTATCTCCATCTGCGCATCCTCGATGTTTCCTCCTCTTCTCGTCTCCTAATATGAATATCGCGCGAGCGATTCTCGAGCAAGGGATTGTTTCGGCTGGGATAAGGAAGATCGTAAGGGCGAAGAAGGGTGGAGAGAGGGTGGAGGAAAGGGGGAGAGAATTTGGTGGAAGCTTTGAGAGAGTAGGATATATAGAATGCAGGTGAATTTTAGCACCATATGTCGATGCTTTTGAGTTATGCTAACATTTATAATCATGTAGAAAAAACACTTTCTCCGTCATACCTTTTCTCGCTCTGTCATCACAATTTTTCTCTTTCTCTCTTTATATTTATATATAATACATATAGCGCGGAACACACACAGCCTTTCACTTCACGCCACGACAGTGCAATCACTCGAGCAGACATTCGTGCATTTTCATTTTTTATTTCTTTTGTCATAATATCATATTAAAATGTACAGTAGCGTCGTTGCGCCGGAATGTCGCCTATCTAGGAATATCCGCGAAAATGTTTCCATATGTTCACGAAGCTTTTGCAAGCTCTTAGAACGATTGAACGAGAATGAAAAAACGAAGATCAAATTGATTATTTAAAAAAATGGTTTCACCGATTTAATACGCGTTAAACACGTATATTATATTTTTTGTATTACACGTGCAGGCAAAGTGGCACTTTGTGTGCGTGCTTTCTGTGCGGAAAGCGGCCGATTTCCCACGCCGCCATCTAGCGATCGATCACCTCGCGCACAGAAAACGCGCACAAAGCCACTTTGCCTGCACTTGTAATACAAAATATCGTGTGTATCAAGTGCGGATTGACAATTGTCAATTTTCCGCACTTGATACACAATATACTATTACGATTTTTCAGCAATTTTATTTGATGAGAATTGTGATATAACTCAAACTTTATTATTTTACATAATTTGTGAACGCAGTTAATATTGTAAAAATTCGTAAAAACAAATTGGACAAATTAAAAATCTTATTGCTACGAAAATAAAATAAAATAGCATCCGTTACGATAAGAACTATAAAAAACCTGGGAAATATCATTGAGCGACAATGAAAGACTTGCAGATGTTCCTAGTAAAAGTTGTGTCAGAATTCGAGAGATTCGGGTGGCGATTACATGCCATAAGTCTGTTGAGATTCCCTCTGTAAATTCTCGAGCAATGCTGTGCGTATATATAAGGTGATAAATAGGTCGCGGGATGTCGTTCGCGGTTCCTATTTCAAACGAGCGCGACTCGTACTCTCGATCGCAGGAAGAGGATGGTCAAAAATGAAGAAATCTTGGAATGATTCAAAGCTTCGAAAAACCAGTTACGAATTTTCCGAGCTCTTGTTGTTGATCCTCGTTTCACCTACCGCAGCTTCTCTCCCGCAATCAAGGACACGAGTGGGACTCTGCAGGCCGGAGATTCCCGAAGGTCGCATCCCTCTTGCATTGTCAGTGATGCCGAGCTGGAAAAGTTTGTTGTCGGTAGATTCGGTTGGTCTTGCGAGCCCGGGCGCGCGCGCGCGCCCGGGCCGATCGATCAGTGGATCCTTCAGGAATCCCTGAGAGGGGACTCAAAGAGGTGATTTTATACAGAGGTGAACACGTGGTGGCGCGGGGCGCGACGAGGGCGATGATGCGGGACAAAGGCTTCAGAGCTCGTCGTGCTTCGGCCCACTGAACTCGTCGTGGGAGATGAAGCCGTTCTTGTCCTTGTCCTCGTGCTGGAAGATCTCCTCGACGAGTTTATCGTGATCGGCCAGCATCTTCTTCACGTCTTCATTCTCGCCCGCTCCGGCCTGCTCCGCCTCTATCACCTGTTTTCGCAGGTAATCGCTTACCTGGAAAAGAACAAATTCAACCACGCACGAATTAAAATGGCTGCGTTGAAAAACAAATATTGACTGTATACAATAAAAAAAAAAAAATATATATATATATACAGATTTAAATTAATTAACTATATTAATCGTTAGGTTTTTAAGCGGTGAATTAAATTAAAATGAATTACGATGCATGTCCAATTTATTGTGCTACAAATTATTCTTATAACATCATTTTTTTTCTTTCAATTCTTTTGTATAAAAATAATTTATTCTTCAATTTTCGCACGAAAGTAAGTTGTGGCTTTTAATGATTGTAACATATCGCAGCAGGTATGACTACAAAGCTTTTGTTAATTAATTTTTTTGTAATATCTATGCAATATGATATTTGCAAATGCGAAAATACGAGTTGTTCAATAACATTAAATTTTATCTCGTGTCTTCAGCACAAATTAATTAAAAACACAAATAAATTGTATCAATATTATATTACTTTAGCCAAGCTTGTGAAAACCAATTGTTTATGAAACGAGAGATTCGTGTAGCTCTACAACCAGCACCCACAAATGGCCCAAATGAAAAAAAATTTAAAGTGATCTTGCCATTGATCTCACCTCCTCGCGGGACAACTGATTGTCTTTGTCGGCATCGATCTCTTTGAAAACATTAGCGGTTGGTGGTGAGTCGCTAATGTTCATGAGCTCAACCTCGAATGTAAGAGTAGCACCTGAAATCAATAACTTTTCGTGTTAATAGCTTGCATGATGTAGGCAAATTATGAAAAAGTAAAGAAATTGCTTATATAGATGGTAAATAAAAATTATTAATACTTTTAAGCAATAGAGAGAACCTATTTTTGTCAATTAAATCATTAAATTAGAATATAATTTTTAAAAATTTTTAATCATTTTTATCTGTGTCCATTATTTATCTAAAATATATTATTAAGTGTTATTATGTGTGTATAGGATATTAAAATTAAGTTACCACAAAATTTAAAAATAAAAATATTTGTTTCTTTGACATTTACAAATGAGACAAATTCTCTTTTTTAATTTTAATTATTCGCTCTTTGCTAAAATTAACATTTTTTGTTATAAAATATACATTTTTTAATATCCCAGAGATAATGCGTATAATATACTAGGATCCTCTTGGATACAAAATTTTGGATACAACAAGATTTCCATTCCGTGAGTCAAAAGATTTATCTATTTTTGAAATACTATTAATCTCGATCTGACAAGTACTCGTTTATCATTTTTAGAGCGCATCGATCTGCTGTCGAACGCTAAAGCTTTTCACGCGGTTTAGTGATATACATACATGAAGAATATACGAGCACAGATATAACGACAAATCGAACAAATCGATGTATACAAAACACATATAAGATGAACAAAAATAGCTTTAATTAAAGAGAAAAAATATGCAGCTTGTTTAATTATAAGAACAATAGAAATAGACAAAAGTTAATATTGTACTTATGTGCAAGCGATTTAACCACTTTATACTAAAAGCAATACTTGTTAAAATTACTCGTAGTTTTATTAATATTTTGGATATAATTCGTAAAGATTTTTAATAAGTAAGAAAGAATTTTAATAGGATCTATGAATAGTAAAATTAATTTTTAAACGTATATGTAAATTAATATATCTTATGCCTCACAAATTATATAATACGTACAGTGTCTTTTTAAAGAACATTTTATATGTATAAAATTTTTTATCTTATCTAAATAAGTGTATGTAAAAATAAATCTGAGGAGACAAAATAATTAGATTAAAAAGTATTTCACACTGTTATGTAAAAATAATATAATAATAGCAAAATAAGATACAAAATTAATATATTAATAAGATATATAGGTAAGGATTAAGCTTGTGAAGCGGCTGAGAATTAATCGCGCTCACACACATATACACATTTGGCCGATCGCTAATAACGTCGCGTACAGAAATTTGATCGCCAATAACAGCGTCTATAGATATCTGAAATAACAATGACCAGCAAATTCGTCTGGGGAGAGAGGGCTAACGAAGTGTTCGGCGCGAGAGAGAATGCATACGCGCGCCACGGCACGTCCAGCCATTAATTATGGATGGTCCCGTCGCGATTAAGCCGACCCTAATGAAATATGGCGCTTAATTATTCACTATTTAAACGAGTGAAATTAATATGGCGAATAATAATGCGCCGACCAGTGTAACGACCGCCGTCGCCGTTGAAATTGGACGTGAGAAATAAAGAGGGATGTTGAACATTTAGGCAAAATTATTTCGATCCTCGTCGTCTTCTTCATACGAAAGCAAAGATACCTCGACGATAATGATACGAATCCGAATAATTTAGCATTTAATAAATTTCTAAAATGTAACAAACTTGTCATAGATTGACACTTATAATGAATTCAGGAGGACAGGAAATAAATGTAATTAATATTTTAATTCTTTGTGTATTATTATAGCAGCGATATGTCTTGAGACCTCTTATGATAGAAAACAAATTATTCATCCAAAAACAAGATCCGGAAAAATCATTTTATCAGGATATATTTCTGCATAGACGTCTAAATACTCGTTTAACAATTTATCACAGTCGTCCCTGTGTTTGGTGCCAAAAATTATGAGTATGGTTACTTACTTTTAGATTATTTACGACAAAAAAAATTTATTTGTTAATAAACAAGGCCCGGAAGAGTTCCATTTAACAATATATTTATATATATGCGCACAAATTTCTGCGTAGACGCCTAAATACTCGTTTAACAATTTATTACAGTCGTCCCTGTGTTTGGTGCCAAAAAATACGAGTATGGTTACTTACTTTTAGATTATTTACGACAGAAAAAAATTTATTTGTTAATAAACAAGGCCCGGAAGAGTTCCGTTTAACGAGATGTTTATATATATGCGCACAAAAATCCATACAAAACTCATTGTGGCCATTTTGACATCTAATTCCAAAAATTACAAGCATAGTGATCGGAATTTTACAATTGTATTCATATAATTAATAAAAAAGGGTGATCAGATAGTGATTCTCAGTACAATAATTACAGATCCGCGAGCCAATCGCAATTGAGACAGTCAAGATTCGTATCGATTCTGTATAAAACTCTCGCGGATTTCTCTATATTTAAAAAATAATACAAATAAGCAGGGAAACTGGTGCGTAACAGGCGATTTATCTGCGCTGCGAAAGAGGCGAATCGTTCATCACTGTTGATTTCGCCGGTTGCAGAGAGCCGCGTAACAGTGCTCAATTTAATGGTTGATGCTTTATTGGATTTCCGTGCAATTGCATTTTTGACTTCGATTCCGCTACTAACGACTACCCTTGTATCGACCTGTCCGATATTGTTCAACGCACATCCCTTCTTCCTCTCTATCCGGGTTCTCTATTTCCCTCTAATCCCTTCATCGCGCACGTAAAAACGATCCCTCGTGTAATTTGAAAAATGCCCATGTCAGCGTGACGCCTTTTAATCGCAATGTACACCGTTGTAGTCCAGTTGATTGGCGAATATACACCTATTGGCGCGTATCTCGATTGATAGAGGAGCTCGGAACAATTAGAGAGGCAACAGTCGGATGCGTCGCAAACGTGAAAAAGTGACAAGATTACAGCGCACACTATTAATTTGTAGATATTTACAGCCATATTGGCAAAATTTTTAATTAAGAAAAACAATCGCTATAATTCTTCACGTCCAAAATAATTTATTCGTTTGGAAATAATATTTGAGATTTTTTAATGAAAAGAAATTGATTGAATCTATGAAAATGATATAAATTGTTTAAGAGATTAAAATTTTAGTACAATTTTAATTTATTGTATATTTTCGCTACATTTAATAAGAAGAGAAATTGCTGTAATAATACAGCATGGAAATGATATGTATAAAAAAGGGAATATATGTATAAAGAAAATGTAATACACACATATATTATATAAAATGTTTTGTTCGCAAAATTTTTTATCATATTGTAAAGATAATTAAAGATTACTAGATTTATTCAGACAGAAATATGTAACAGAGAAATAATTTTAACAAATTTAATAAATTTATTAATTAAAATCCATACACACACACATTGAAATTGTATTACTTATAAAGTAAATTTTATGGAGAACAAATAGAATAAATAATAAAGCTTTTATGTTCTTTTATAATCATATTTATTTCACGTAATATTAGAGAGAAAGAGAGGAAAAGAGATAATTTAAAACTGTTCAACTTTTACATTGATAAAATTTAAATAATATATTGTGTTAATGTGCGCGTATGTATTATATTTAACGTAATTAAGCAATTAAAATGTACTTTTTATAAATATTATTAACATACAACGTACATTTTATGTGCAGCATCATGTATCAATTTGTCTTATTTTACTTATTATTATTTTATCATTATTATTATTGCTATTTATCATTATTATTATTTTTTATTAACAATGTTATTAGTTTAAAGCTTGATTTATAAAGTATTTTAATTTTTTAAATATAGAGAAAAATAGCAAAAAAAAAATGTCATTACATACCACCAGGAATAACGTTTCCGGCACCTTTCTCGCCATATCCAAGTTCAGGCGGTATCGTCAACTTCCTCTTCTCACCCACGCACATATCCAAGAGACCCTGGTCCCAACCCTTGATGACTTGCCCTACACCCAGCTGGAAAGTGAATGGTTGATCTCTGTCCAAGCTGCAACAATAAAAAGAAACAATTTTAATCAGATTTATATTGGACAAAATCCACATATAATTTTTTTTTGCATAAACGTATTAATTATTCAACCTCTTATATTTCAAATTTAAAAAAATATATCAGAAAGATTTCACACAAATATTATTTTCATAACAAAAAAAATTCTTTCTACCAATCACAAAAACATTGGTATATTATTAAAATCGTAAATTCGCGTAAAAATAAATTATGAGAAAACGATATTTTATAATCTTCACCTCAAATTATATTGGAGTAATAGAATAAGTATCTGTAGATGAATCGAATTAAAATTTCGTGTCAAGTCGAAAAACCGCAATGTTCATCAGGACGAGTTTCACGATGACTTATTCACGTCGGGAGTTAAAGGTAACACGGCGCGAGAAGAGAAGCGACTGTCACGGCGGACTAATTGGAAAACGTGCGGAACAATTGAGTCCCATTTCGCAGTACCGCGAACTTTCGCCAAGAATTCGCCATTGTGCCGGAGCACCGAATGCAACTCGCATGACTACGCTCGATATTCCGCGCTAAGTCAAGAGGCTCAGGTCGCTATTAGAGGTGTCGATTTGTCGAGGTCTATAATGAAGCGAGAAACAGAGGGAGAAAATGAGGGAGCGAGAGAGAATGGTCGTTTTTGGTGGAAAATCGACGACTCCGTCGACGGAATATTGCGGAACCAGCAAGGCAAAGTCAACCCTTCTTCTCTGAGTGAGCCTCGTTCAAGATATCTTGACATGCAGCTCTAAGGGCGCAACATCGAACTGGAAGTAATGCCTAGCAACGTGTTGCTAAATGCAGTCGGGTGAAGAGTTTCGTGCGCGAGTGCTAATGTAGGCGAAGCGATACAGAGTAATAATATAATATATAAGAAAGGAAACATATACGTGATACGCGATAATTATGTATAATAAGTTCAACAATGAAAGAGATGTAGATGAGATAAAAAATGCAAAGTTGGATAATCTAAATAATTTTATAAGCAAAGTCGAGAAGAGAAAGAGAGAGAGAGAGAGAGAGAGAGAGAGAGAGAGAGAGAGAGAGAGAGAGCAAAATTGTATACACGGAAAAAAGAGCAAAGTATTTTATTATTTTATTCTTAAAGAAATTTTATTGCATATAATGTGTGATTATATATACATTACAATTTTTTTTCTTATAGAGAATATTCTTCCGTAAAGGAGATATAAAAATTATACGTAGTTAGGTATAAAATCTTCTATATCTATACATTCTCTTTTAGTATAATCTCCATCCACTTGTACTTGCGGCAAAATGAGCTCGAGCAGTGTGTGGAAATTATACTGAAAAATAAAGGTATATACGGAGAATCTTCCTTTCATTCATTTTCTTTATACGCAATATTTTCATTTCGGAATAACATAAAGACTGGAGAGAAGTGAGGCATTATATTTTCTGAATAAACCGTACACTATGTATTCTCTTCTTTCGTTCCTTTTCCGTGTCGCGAAAAATTTCAGGGTAAAATTCGAGAAAAAAATTTAATTATATCTTATAAATACATATTTCTTTCTCTAGCTCTTTTTTATTAAAATATAATGTGGATTAATAATATCCGTGTTATTATAGTTGTTTCTATCATCTATTATTACAAGCAATATTTAAGAGTGACCCTTTCTTTATTCAGTTTTATTCTTGAATTGTGTTTCGCATAGCTCAATTCAACTTTATCAAGTACACGTTAACTGCGAGTGGGAAAAACGATATTGAGTATCTCGGACGCAATATCATCGGATCGATCATTTTTCCCGCCGTTCTGAAGCGCAGATGATATAGTCAATTTTCAGCGTTATTGGTTTTCGGCTACCTTGCTGCGAAGGCAAGTCTTCACCATGAAAGCAGATTACTTTTTCAGTGATCCGCCGTATTAATACATATAACGCATTTTTCCGGTGCATTTTAACATCTGCTGTTCTTTTTATAATCTACATATGTACAGTTTTCACAATTTATTACTAATATTTATTTCTTTATATTTTATAATTTACAATACGCAGTTTTATCAGAGATTCAGAGTTATCGTCTGTGATGGTTGATATTTATGCAAAAGAGAGTTTACCCTGCTCGATCTTCCATTTTGATCCAATCCGATAAATATATTTTATTATTTTATATTTACATATATATACACGGACACAACTATGAGTAATATTATTAATCCACAAAGTTTCGCGTGGACTTTCTATAAAAAAATATTTTCTGGTATTTCTATTCTCTGGATCGATCCAGGATTCCGTAGCTTTTTTAGCGCGCATAAACGTAAACGACCTGGTATTATTGGCTAGATTTATTATTTATTGGCTCATTTACAGAAATGACGTTTTTCAAGATAAAACATATCATTAGTTTTTATTTAAAAAATTAGTTAAATATGATTTTTTACCTTTCGATAAAGAGAACATTTAAATATTCTATTTCTGACGCTAATCTGTTTTGATAGACATCATTATAAATTACAATAACAGGAAATAAAATTCGAGATCAATCTTGGGAGTGCAATATATTTATATAAAATAGAAATTTAAAATTATTGAATAAAATAAGATATAAGAAAAGAAAAAGAATTTTAATAATATTAATATAGAAACATTCTCCCAAAAAAATTCTCTACAAATTGAAAATATGCACCATAAGAAGAAATATATGTATAGTATTTATAATATACAGGGTGTCCGGTAACTAACGGACCAACGATTACAAATGGATTCTTTGGTCAATTTGGGAACGATTTTTCCTCAGCGAAAATGTCGAAAAAGGTCATTATTTTTTACAATTTTCCAATATTTGTCATTATGTATCTTTATAACTAAGCCTCAAATTAAAATTTTATCATAGTAAACTCTACCTGAAATTATCTGAAAAATGTAATTATGTTAGACTTTTAACTCCAAAACGTTTAGTTTTCAAAAAACCCATTTTTTTCAATTGCTTATAACTCGAAAATTATTGACTTCTCAATATGTTTTCGCTAAGGAAAAATCGTCTCCAAATTGGCCAAATTGGTCCGTTAGTTACCGGACACCCTGTATATATTTTTATGAACTAAATCAAGAAATAGTATTGATTTGAAGCTACTGTTACATTTCATTCTGCTAAATAATTTAAACGGTGTGTTAGAGTCGATTACGGCTAATTGCATCTTTGTACAGCATCCTTTTCCTACATACGGCGCGGTATATATTTAAGTACTTTCCAGATACTCGAGAATTCCGTGTTCACGAGCGCAGGGTCCATTTCCCCTAAAACTTTCTCCTAAACTTCTGAAAACGTTTCCAAGCGTAACGGCAGAGGCTATAGGTATTTCAAGCTAATCTTGTCAATGAGCAGCAATCTAATTATATTAGTATACGTATACGCATCCGCGTGTTATTATATCGATATTAGCGCCAAATTATTCTTATTATTCCGCGCTAGGCTATGAATATAGAACAATATCAACGAAATATCAACGCGAAATATAATCATCTGCTTCGTTTCGATGTCTTTTACCCAACAGATTGTTAATATAACGTTGTATATCGATGATAAAGCGTTTAAATTGCACAGAACTGAAAATCGAACATTACTCTCAGTCAGGCAGAAATATATTGCTTATTTAACTGTTTCGAGGTGGTTTTCATTTTCCAAGGGATTAAATTGAATATTCCGTATATTGGCTATATATGAATAAGCCAAGCCATTTAAAAATACATTTGACAAAAATACAAATGTTATTCTTTAGCAAATAAAATTTACAATTACTCACAACTCTTTATAAAAAAAAAAAAAAAAAATATATAGATTTGACATTATCCCATTATTATAAAACATTATCATTAAAACTTAATTCGAATATGCTTCATTCAATAAGAAGAGTCTTGCAAATGACTCACTTGTCGCAAATGTATATTAATAGAGACTAAATTAGTAAAATTAAAAGATTAAATCCAATAAATCCAATTAAACTCAGAGAGTTGTTAGAGTGACAAATCCAGAATTGTATGATCTTAGTTCTACAACTCCTCAAAATAATAGTACCAGGTAAAACCGTTGAAGAGAATTTCATTAATGAGAAAGAGAAGATAGTCTTGCGTGTGTTTGTCGTTATTTGTGTGTGGAGATATAGTCTTCAAGAATGATATCGATCTCGGCGTTCGTTTACTTCCCTACTTCGTTAGTGATAATTAAGCATCACGCGCTGTTGCGTCTTCGTTTATTATTTTATTAATTATTTCATTAATGGGAGCATCATGACGCTACTCTCATGTCTCTGGGTTAATTTATTTCTCGAAGACTCCACGATCACGAGATCTAATATTACGCCACCTAATAAGCATCGTATTTCAACGCAGATACGAGGTGACATATATTCCCGCTGAAACGATAGCAACGGATTAGCAATACGATAGTTATTTATTTCACAGAGTAATTCGCGGTGCATCGGCGAAATGCATTTCGACAGATTCGATAGAGGAAGATTCATTGGATCGAAAAACTTCGAGATGTATTGAACGCGCTGGATCATACTGATATATATTTAGCTCGCTCGCGTAGATAAACTAAAATGGTAGATTAAAATTGTAACATAAAGGGTTTAAAATACATGTGCATGTTTTAATAACTTTTTTATCTTTGTTTTTAATTTTACTAAATAATAAAATGAAAAATATAATTTTTGTGGTAAATTCTTTCTTTCAAAGGTTTACTACTTTAATTACTATTTATATATTTTCTATTTACTATTTTATATGTTTTATTACTGTAGTATAAACATGTAATAACAGCATTTTTATAGAAAAGAAAGGTATATTGTTTAATACAATATATTGAAAAATATAGGAAAAGAAAAATACTATAATTATGAAAGAATAATACTATAAAATGTGCAAATATCATATATATTTAAAATTGTCGAAAGATATATGCACGTTATTTCATTCGTTTTAGAAGATTTGTCGAAAAGTGCATTCTTGAAGTGC